CCCCCCCCCCCCCCAACTTTGAAGTGTCTGGTTCCCCCTCCTAATGACGGACATTTAAATTACGGGGAAATGCAATATCTTGAGATTCTTCTATTTTGAATTGGGATCCTTGCAAGTTGTCTGGTGGGCTATGAAGCACGGACACTCTCGAGAACATGACGTATCTGTGTCGGACACGTATCCGATACTCTTTTATCCGTATCCATAATTAAATGATAAATTTTTAATTTCGAACACGTGTCGTACACTTCTTTGGTGATGTGTCCGACACTTCTTTAGAACGTTTCTACTATTAAACAATTGACATTTATTGAAATGTAATTAACAAATCTTAAAAATTTGAGAAAATATAATTACTAATACTAGATATATTAAAGTTGTACTCCAAATATAATAATAAAAACAAAACGTGCATAAAAGTTTTAAAAAAGAGGAATTGAAAAAATGAGAGCAATTATTTAAATTATATATTAGATACACATTGTCTAAAAAAAAAATTGATGATTATTGACTATAATGAGGATGTTTTAGTCTAAAAATTCACATAGATGACTAGACATTAGGTTTTCTTATCATAAAATACTGATTTTTTTATAAATTGTATATTATTATCACTATATTTGCAATGAATTATATAATGTTATATATAAAATATAATTTTTTTGTAGCATGTCCTTAACGTGTCCGTGTCCTACTTTTTTGATAAATGTCGTATTGGCGTGTCCATGTCGTGTCGTATCTGTATCCCGTATCCGTGTCCATGCTTCTTAGCTGGTGGGTATTCTGGTTCTATCTGTGCAGCTGAGTAAACCACTTCCCATTCCAGCACCAGATTCCATAAACTACAACATTATTATTTGTAGTTGCACATTTCAATTATCGAGTGTCTTTCTCAGATTACTTTGCTCCGAGGATTACGAATTAAATTATCAGATATAAGCCAACATTCCAAATGGGAGTTGTCAATCTTATTGTTCCATACCCTGCTCTTCCAACCTAATCAGCCAACATCCCCTCCCCAAAAAAATTCCCTGAAAATTTAAAAAAAAAAAACTAAAGAGGATGGGAAAGTTCTATTCTTTGATGCAAGTGGTATATATATAAACATTGTTACCACGGGATTACTGTGTGATGTACTGATGGATCCTTTTTCCCCTTTAAATGTATCTTTTGTTGGGATTGTATGAGCGTGTCAACAGTTTGGAAACCCGATAGAGTTCAGTTTGTCATGAAAAATCCACCTGTTGGAGTGCATAAGATCTAATTTTGAGCTTGTTAAATAGATTGTATGCTTTCTGTTGACTTGAAATCTACTACATGGCAGTTGGAGAAAAGTGCCACACTCTTCAGACCAAAATTGATTGTTGCTGGTGCCAGTGCTTATGCACGTCTATATGACTATGCACGTATTCGCAAGGTAAACTCTCAGCTTTCTCTAGATCAATTTATTTTGGATATCATCTGATAGAGCATTTGTTTTGTTAAATGATAGAGCTTAGTTTGAATTCTCTTGACGGCCTATAAGTTTTAAGTTCTAATATTTTCCATGTATTTGATAGGTTTGTGACAAGCAGAAAGCAATCATGTTGGCAGATATGGCACACATCAGTGGACTGGTTGCAGCCGACGTCATCCCATCACCATTTGAGTATGCAGATGTTGTGACCACAACAACCCACAAATCTCTTCGTGGGCCACGTGGTGCCATGATTTTCTTCAGGAAGGGGGTGAAAGACATTAACAAACAGGGCCAAGAGGTTAGTTGTTCAAAGAAACAATCATCATATTGCCTCATCTGCTCCCAAATAAAATTTTAGACCTTTATTGCTTCTCTAAAAGAGAAGTTGATGTAATACGATGTACAATCATTAACATTTTACGTTCTTTCTGAAGGTTTTGTATGATTATGAAGACAGAATTAATCAGGCTGTCTTTCCTGGACTTCAAGGTGGCCCACACAATCACACAATCGCTGGCTTAGCAGTTGCATTGAAACAGGTTTGACAATGACATCTCAATTTTTCGTGTAGATAATCTGAGAAGTGTTAACAAATCAGTTTTGTAGATGTACAATACCCGGTTGCTGGGTGGCATCAATCTTAGTCTTGAAGTTCTTCATTTTTGACTTCATGATGCAAGGAACAAGTTCATGCAAGTGTTAAACAGGTCTATTAAAACATTCACAGACTCAGGAAAAAAAGTGGATATTAAATTTACATAGCTAGGTTTTATATGGAAGTAATCTTTACAGGAATGAGTTTCAATGTTTTCCAGAACATCTTTACTGCTGGGCCTCGCGGGTTTCAAATCCTTTTGAATCCTTTTACTTACCAATAATGGCAATTACTAATCTAAGCATGCCATTGTCCTTTGGAACTGTTTGATCTGTACAGAAACCTAAGATAAATGGATTTTTTATGTTCACTTACTCTTGTGCGACTGCAGGCAACGACCCCAGAATACAAAGCTTATCAAGAGCAAGTTCTCAGTAATTGCTCAAAGTTTGCACAGGTATGACACAATAATGCCTTGGCACCTATAACTGAAGTATGATCTTTGTGGCTCCAATTTTCTTTTGTTTTTGAACTTAAAGTTCTCGACTGGCGTGATGCTTCAAATAATTACACAATGCTTAAGCCATATTCCTGTATATTACATAATGCTGAAATTTAACTGATCTTGCAGACACTGGTTGTGAATGGATATGACCTTGTCTCTGGTGGAACGGAGAACCACCTAGTTTTGGTGAATTTGAAAAACAAGGTAAAGAAGGAAGTTCATCGGTGAACTACTTGGGAATTTTTGTACTTCCAAATCTTCTCGTGAATATTTCCAATCTGCTACTGAGCTATGTTTAAAGCTCTGTTGATTGTCCTAGCAAGACATCGTGAGAGTAATGGTCTCTAATTGATGTGTATGTATTACCCTTTATCTTGAAGGGAGGAAGATGCCACTTTTGATTTATGATTTTCTTTCAACAGGGTATTGATGGTTCCAGGGTTGAAAAGGTGTTGGAAGCTGTTCACATTGCAGCCAACAAAAACACTGTTCCTGGAGATGTGTCTGCCATGGTTCCTGGTGGCATCAGGATGGGTATAGGCTTCTTCTTTTATCAGATTCTGCTTGAGCAATCATTTTCTGAACTGACAACCATGACAAACTTGTCCCCCAGGAACTCCTGCTCTCACTTCAAGGGGATTTGTCGAAGAGGACTTTGCTAAAGTTGCTGAATTCTTTGATGCTGCTGTGAAGTTGTCTTTGAAGATCAAGGCTGAAACTAAAGGTTCCTGATGGGATCATTTTGTCGTTCCCCAAGAACATATATATACTTTACAACATGATGTACCTGTGTTGTCTCCTATTACTTCTTGGAAACATCCATCTTTGTTTAGATGTTAGTATGCTTGGAGCATGCAAAATTTTCTTGCTCAATGTCTCGAGTCTGCTTGGACTCCACTCATACATATATGCTTGCACAATGTGATTCCAATGACCATATGCATGTGAGTGCTGAGGCAGCTGTTTTACTTGTGAAAACCAGGGACAAAGTTGAAGGACTTTGTGGCCACAATGCAGTCCAGTGCTCCCATCCAGTCTGAGATTGCAAAGCTTCGGCACGAGGTGGAAGAGTATGCAAAACAATTCCCAACTATTGGGTTTGAGAAAGAAACCATGAAGTACAAAAACTGAAAAGAAGTTCTACATGCCAGGTAAATCTATTCTTGGGGATTATTGGAGTTGAATTTTGCTGTGCAAAGTAACCAAAACTCTGCTTGTGATTTGTATAAGAGTGTTCTCAACACTCCTTCATCCCTTCCCCGGTGCCAGTACTCAAAATAATTTCTCCTGTAGCTGGACATGATGCCATGTGTTAGGTTTCCATATTTTGTGTTTGTAGTATCAGTATCATGTATTTACTTCCACCAATCGTTTCTGGTGGCACACCGTAATCTATGCAAAATCTGATCCATTGTGCATCATTTGTTTGTGGAGCAGGCACCACACATCAAGGCCAACTTATTTTACTACTTGAAGGAGGTTAGTTGGGATGAATTTATCTGCTTTCAGTATGTCAGATATGTAATAAGATCTTATGTATGAAATTCAGCAGAATATTGATCCCCAGCTTCACCCAGATGTATATGTACTTTAACCCAGACTGTTCAAAAGAATGAATTTGCCGTTGATTTTAAGCTGTTACTTTCTTTGCCCCTGATGTGCTTGGTATGGTTGATGCTTGTTTCAAAAGCACTTCAACAGTCATATTATGTGCCATCTTTTATGTGGAATCTGAGGCCAGAAAGACCAGTATCTGTGCAGCCGAGGGATATGACTGTAAATATAGTTTTAGGATAGTGTGATTATTGTAAACATCGTTTGATACCGTTGGAGATATAGCAGCAGCCTAATTTATTAGGATTTTATTAAATTTTCTTTTTTACCTTTTTGTCCTTATTGTAATTCTCATTGACTATATATATATATATATAGGGGGCTCTACACTTAGTTTGTATCCCTTTTTACTTACATTTATTCCAAGTTGGTATCAGAGCCAAAACTCTAACTCTAACTTTAATCCTAGTCTTCATCACCTTCCCAGCAGTCAACCAGCAAAACCACCTTCAGCAGTAGTAGCGAACCAGAGACAGCCCCAAACCAACGACAGCCACTACAAACCAAAATATAGTTTAGCATTACCCTAGCATTACACCGACAACATATACCAGCCCACTCTTCCGCCAAACACCGACAACATATACTAGCGAGAGAGAAGACTGGTCCCCATCCGCCGACTTCCCAACCTCAATCCATCGATTAACACCTTCACCGACTGCCCAGATCAACTGAATAGTATTCACCGACTGCCCAAATCAAAAAAAAAAAAAATACACAAACAACCAACACTGTCCAAACATTCACCGGCCCACACCCACTGCCCAGTCAACCACCACTGTCCACTGCCTCCATCGATTGAAAAACCAAAGCAATAAGCCACAACCAAGCATAAACCCAAACACCAGCCCAATAAACCCAGACCACAATCCAGACCAGCCCATTGCCCACTCACTGTTGGGTCGCGTTTTTCGTTGTGGCTTCGTCCTTCGCATTCTTCGTCATAGTACTGCCAAATTGTAGTATCTAGGACTTTGTTTTAAGAGGGGTTGAATCCTCTTCTCCGTTGATCTGCTCTTGATGCAGTAGATCATTTATCTATATTTATTGGATTTCTGGGCACCGTAAACTGAAAATTTGAGAGCTTTCTGGACTTGTTTTATCTGTCGCTATTGTTCGACTGAAGGTATATCGTTCTCCCTTATTTTATTCCTCTATTTATCTTAGAGTTGTTGTTTTTTTTCTGTTACGGGTGCCCACATATTATTGTTGATATGACTACTACTACTACTGAGGGACTTGAGACTCCTACTGTTGACACATCTACCGATGAGACATCTATGGGTACTTTCACTTTTATGTTTGACCAGTATACAGTACCAACTAGCACAGTTGCATTACCAGCACTACCGGGCATGATTTCTCAAAAAGTTACGGCACAGTTGTTGAATGGTCGTGACTTCGCTGAGTGGTCTTGCTCATTCCAACTTTTCTTAGGCCGTGTAGGGAAGCTTGGTTGGCTGACGGGATCTCACCCAAAGCCAGTTGATGCCGACCCTGGATATTCTATGTGATTCTTTGAGAACTGCATCATTCTTGGATGGTTATTTGGCTCGATGGAACCATCTGTTTGTAGGATCCACCAGTTTCATAGCTCTGTTCCGAAGCTATGGAGCGCATTATCAGAGATGTATTCTCAGTGGGGACGGGGAGTTTGTGTTTATGAGCTTTCTCAAAAGCTCTCATATGCTCGGTAGGGAGATATGACCATTCAGGATTATTATGATTATTTGGTCCAACACTAGCTTGAGTATGAGATTCTACGTCCTCTTGCTGCTATTCCGAGGATAGAGCCCGAGGGAGCAACATTCTTGCATACTCGAGAGCAGGAGGATAGGATTCACAAGTTCTTTATGGGATTTCGTGATGAGTTTGAGGGATCTCGTTCTCAGATCTTGTCGATGTTGACACTTCCTTCTCTTTATGAGGTGTACGGGATAATTGAGCAGCATGAGCGTCGGGTTCGTATTACATCACTTTCAGTTGCGACTTTGACTCCTTTGGCTGACTAGATGGCCCTTGCAACTGCTGCAGGGTCTCGTTCAAGATCCTCACTCAGGGGTGGGCAGCGCTCGGATCAGCGCCGTCAGGGTGCCCCAGATCAGCGCAGACAGGAGAATTCTCGTCAATGTGATTATTGTGGCCGACCAGGACATCTCAGGGCTAATTGCTGGAAGCTCCATCCAAAGCTTAAGCCACCTCCTCGCAGCCGTACTGTTGTTATTGCTGAGGTACCACCACTCACTACCGCTACTCCTGCTGCTGCTGCTCCACCTTGGCAGAGTGATATGGATGTTATCACTTCCCGATTAGATATACTTATGTCTGCTTTGACTTCTCAGAGTCTGACTACTGCTGCTGTCACCACTATAGGTATACCTCGTGACTTTCATGTTTGTGCCAGTTCATCTCCCCTTTGGATGTTGGACTCGGGTGCGAATGGTCATATGACAGGTGAGGCCCATCACTTCACCACTTTTGACAAGCAGTTACATACACAGGTTTAGTTAGCAGATGACACACATGCCCCTATTGTTAGTAGGGGTACAGTCCGCCTCCCAAATGACTTTACATTACGTTCGATTTTTCATGCGCCAAAGTTGGTCATGAATATGTTATCTGTACATCAGTTAGCTAGAGATTTTCACTGTGCAGTTGTATTCTTATCTGATTCATGTTATTTGCAGGACCTGAGTATCAGAAGGATTATTATCAGGGGACATGAGAAAGATGTACTGTATTATCTTGGCAATCCACCTCCAGTTTCACCAATTCCTCCACCTACATCACTTGCACCTGCTTTGTCTTTTTCTGTTCCTAGCTTACATACTAGTATTTTACCTAGTAGTTGTCGTTATGATTTTCGTCACAAACTGTTCAGTTGTGGCATGACCGTTTTAGACATACAAATTTTAAATATTTATGTATGTTGTTTCCTGCTTTGAGCAATGCTTATGTTGGTGGTAAACTTGACTGTGTTATATGTTCCCTATCGAAATATGTTAAGGCCAGTTATATTCCTCGCATGCACCAGTCACCTAAGTCATTTGACCTAATACACTCTGATATTTGGGGACTCTTTTCCGTTACTATTCTGTCAGGTGTCCGATATTATGTGATATTTATAGATGACCATACCCGTTGTACTTGGGTCTACCTTATGCATAGAAAGTCTGATGTACTCCCTATAATCACTCAATTTTTACAGATGATTAAGACACAATTCGATTTCATTGTTCGTGCTCTTCGTTCGGATAATGTCAAAGAATATGTGTCTGATGTCTTAGTGTCTCACATTTCTTCTCAAGGTATTCTTCAGTAACTCACTTGTTCGTATACTCCTGAGCAAAATGGTGTTGCTAAAAGAAAAAATAGGAGTTTGATAGGAATGATACGTTGTTTGCTTAGAGGCATGAGGGTACCAAAATCTTATTGGCATTTTACTGTTTTAACTTTTACCTTTCTGTGCAATCATACGCCAAGTCGTGTTCTTTAGCATAAGGCTCCCTTACAGGCCTTATTTCCTGAGCGGACACTTTTTTCGGTCCCCCCTCGTGTTTTTGGATGCACATGTTTTGTTTAGGATCGGTCTCCTACTCGTCATAAATTTGATGATAAAGCGATTCGTTGTATCTTTGTGGGCTATTGTCATCAATCTAAGGGGTATCGGTGTTATGATCCTATTAAGCGCCGTATATATCACAGTCTAGATGTTACCTTTCTTGAGCATATTTCTTATTTTTCTCCCAGTCCTGTGTCTGCCCCTCCAGTTGATGATACTCCCTTTGATGTTCCATTACCACAGGAGTTAGAGTCATTAGTCATTATCCCTACAGGGTCATCTGTTTCTCCTCCTTCAGAGCCACTCATCCCTGTTAGTACAGAGTTACCAGTCTCTTTTCCTTTGCAGGTGTATGTTTGTCGCCCTCGCTCTCATCACCCTGCTGATGTCCCCTCTATCCCAGGCGATGCAGGTAATACTTCTCAATTTGTTGAGCATATTGATGCACCTGTTGTTAGTACTGATGAGATTGCAGGTGCTGAGCCAATTCATTTACCTGATGAAACATTATCAGTGGAGGATGATGATTTAGGGTGTCGTTATATGCGTCGTGATCGTCGGCCAGTTGATTGTTATGGTTGGACTGCCAAGATTTTATATCCGATCTCTACTTATGTTTCTTATGGTGATCTGTCTCCCACATTTCGAGCTTATATTATGGCCTTATCAGATACGCCGGTTCCTCGTTCTATTTCGGAGGCTATGCGGGAACCCCAATAGGTTCTTGCCATGCAGACAGAGATGGACGCTCTTCAGCGTAATCATACATGAGATCTTGTCTCCTTACCTTTAGGGGTGAAGCCTGTTGGCTGTCGCTGGGTTTACATCCTGAAGTTTCTTGCGAATAGTACTATTGATCGTCACAAGGCTAGACTTGTGGCGAAGGGCTTTACTCAGGTACCAGGTCGTGATTTTGGTGCTACATTTGCCCCCGTGGCAAAATTGACTATTGTTCGTTGATTATTTCCCTGGTTGCAGAGTACTCTTGGTCTCTTCATCAATTAGATGTGAAAAATGCGTTTCTTCATGGTGATCTGGACGAGATTATTTATATGGATGCACCATCGGGCTTTCGTGGTGAGGGGGAGTATGCTGGAAAGGTATGTCGACTGTGTAAGTCTCTTTATGGACTGAAACAGTCACCACGAGCCTAATTCTCTCGCTTTAGTGATGTAGTCGTACGATTGGGGTTCACCAGGTGTCATTCTGATCATACCTGCTTTATTCGACGGAATACTTCTGGACAGTGTGTCATCCTTCTGGTATATGTTGATGATATTATTATTACTGGTGATGATGTTTCTGGGACTGCGCAGGTCAAGATAGACCTTGGGAAGGCCTTCGATGTGAAGGATCTTGGATTTCTGCGATACTTTCTTGGGATTGAGGTTGCCCGTAGAAGCAGAGGTATTGTTCTTTCTCAGAGAAAGTATGTTTTGGATTTTCTTTCAGACACTGGGATGCTGGGTTGCAAACTGGTATCATCACCCATAATTCCAAACCTGAAGCTTACTGCTGAAGGTAAGGAGTTGAAAGATCCGACAGTTTATCAAACATTGGTAGGTAGACTTATCTACTTAGCCAATACTAGGCCGGACATTTCATTCGCAGTCAGCCGAGTTAGTTAGTTCATACACAGGCCGTGTCAGCCTCATCTTGATGCAGTTTATCTTATTCTTCGGTACCTCAAGTCTTGTCTTGGACTTGGGTTGTTTTATGCATCAGGATCTCAGATCGGTTCTCTAGCCTGTTATTCAGATTCAGATTATGGGGGAGCATGTGATGGTCGATCTACTACGGGTTTCTGTGCTTTTCGAGGGACTCATCTTATCTCTTNCTGGACTTGGGTTGTTTTATGCATCAGGATCTCAGACCGGTTCTCTAGCCTGTTATTCAGATTCAGATTATGGGGGAGCATGTGATGGTCGATTTACTATGGGTTTCTGTGCTTTTTGAGGGACTCATCTTATCTCTTGGAAGAGCAAGAAGCAGACAGTTGTCTCCCGCTCGTCAGCAGAGGCAGAGTATCGGGCATTGACACTTGGCACGTGTGAGATTATCTGGCTACGATCGATTCTTGGCGAGTTGGATTTTTCAGTGACTTCTCTATCCACATTATATTGTGATAATCGATCTGTTATTCAGCTCGCTTCTGATTCTTGTATTACATGAGAGGACGAAGCATATAGAGATCGATGTTCACTTTCTTCGGGAGAAGGTCAGCAGTGGTCTTGTTACTCCATCGTTTGTGGGGACCAGTGATCAAGTTGCGGATGTTTTTACCAAACCTGTCACTCTGTCTATTCTTCGGGACTCCGTTGTCAAGCTTGGCTTAGTTGACATTTTTGCGCCTAGCNAAGTTGTGGATATTTTTACCAAACCTGTCACTCTATCTATTCTTCGGGACTCCGTTGTCAAGTTTGACTTAGTTGACATTTTTGCGCCTAACTTAAAGGGGAGTGTTGGAGATATAGCAGCAGCCTAGTTTATTAGGGTTTTATTAAATTTTCTTTTTTACCTTTTTGTCCTTATTGTAACTCTCATTGACTATATATATAAGGGCTTTACACTTAGTTTGTATCCCGTTTTACTTACGTTTATTCCAAGTGATACCACTACATTTATGATGCATTGATCATTCAAAGAGGAGATCCTATATTTTCCCAAAATCCATTGAGTTTTGCTGCTTGAGATGCCCTAGTTATATGCGGACTATGGTGCTATTTTTTTTTTTTGTTCATCGATTAGGGGTGTCTGGATCAGCTTGTACGTACTTCGACTAATTCTCTCTGTGGTCTAATCTAGGGCAGATCATCCACGTTAGGACTAAGATATTCATATCTTTGAATCAAGTGACGCGGCTTTCCTCTGTTAGGTTGACAAAGAGGGCAACACTTCACTAACCAACAATAAAAAGAACAAGTTCTGATTAAGTGGTAACTTCCGGTGATTATTATTATTTTGGTGATTACTATGAAATGGGTTTTTTCTCCTGCTTTTGGTCTCATTGAGTTTATGTTGTTTTTTTTTTCTTTCAAAAAAATCTCGACTATGGTTATAAGTTATTAATATATTGGTTAGTATTTAATTCTAAGCTTATGCTTAATCTTCTTTGAATACATCCCCACAAAGAAGCCATATCAAGCTTCCTCTAGATTATTGATGAGGCTTGAGTTCATCCTCTTGAAACACTATCATCCATAGAACAAGCAGAAAACCAAAGGAAGGAAGATCCTAAAACTTCTAAAAGGAATTAGGACTATGATTGACAACTCTACTCACCAGATGCCGTGATGATAATTCAAAGTAAATTATCCACTGTTATATTTTTCTTAACACTTGATAAGTCAAACTTATCTAATAAATAAATGAGTGAATATCATCAATTCAGTCATGTATTGATATAAAATTGATTACAAAAATTAATTTAGACATGAGACTATAAAATNTGGACAACTCTACTCACCAGATGCCGTGATGATAATTCAAAGTAAATTATCCACTGTTATACTTGATAAGTCAAACTTATCTAATAAATAAATGAGTGAATATCATCAATTCAGTCATGTATTGATATAAAATTGATTACAAAAATTTAATTAGACATGAGACTATAAAATGGATTTGAATCTGCACGTTGGCCCGGTTCAATAAGTGAGGGAAAAAACCATGGATTTTAGATTCCACTAATCGGATATGCTCTTAAGCACAATAAATAAATTTTATAAATTAGCCTGCAAAATTCAAAATTCCTATTTGTGCTTCACAAAATCATATTTTTAAATCTCTCTAAAAGTAGCCCACTCAATTTTATTAACAAAAGAGATAATCTAACTTTGATTAGAGAGAGAATCAAAATATCGAAATTTTAAATTTTAAAATAATACTGATAAATTAAATTTTATTGTTTCNTCTCTCCTAGTGCTTCACAAAATCATATTTTTAAATCTCTCTAAAAGTAGCCCACTCAATTTTATCAACAAAAGAGATAATCTAACTTTGATTAGAGAGAGAATCAAAATATCGAAATTTTAAATTTTAAAATAATACTGATAAATTAAATTTTATTGTTTCATATTTTTAGAGTTTTTGTTTAAATTATAGATCCTTTTTATTATATATGTATAGAAATATGTATTTAAACTAGCAAGAAATTTATGTTAAAAAAATCACAATAATATTAAAAAATTAAAAATCTTACAGCTTTAGGTCCCAATGTTAAACCGCCCCCTAAAATAAAAGTAAATAATGAGGTATCATTTAACACAATACGAATCTCCTATAACAGGATTATGACTTGAGCTCCAACTCCGACACATCTATGATCTCTCCTCGGGCGTTTTCGGATNAAAGCTCTTTTTTTTTTTTAATTATATATAGATCCTTTTTATTATATATGTATAGAAATATGTATTTAAACTAGCAAGAAATTTATGTTAAAAAAATCACAATAATATTAAAAAATTAAAAATCTTACAGCTTTAGGTCCCAATGTTAAACCGCCCCCTAAAATAAAAGTAAATAATGAGGTATCATTTAACACAATACGAATCTCCTATAACAGGATTATGACTTGAGCTCCAACTCCGACACATCTATGATCTCTCCTCGGGCGTTTTCGGATATTTTCCCAAACGCTCCCAAAAAATGAGTAGGTTTAATGCTCTCGTACGCTGCCCAAGTCGACCGTTACAAGTGATTATCATTATTATTCTTACACTTGGCGTGGTCAACACGCTCATGGCGACACGCCTCCCCATCTGTCGCTCATTTCAACCCTTACCCCTTTGCTTTCTACGCCCTTCTTANTCTGATCTCTCCTCGGGCGTTTTCGGATATTTTCCCAAACGCTCCAAAAAAATGAGTAGGTTTAATGCTCTCGTACGCTGCCCAAGTCGACCGTTACAAGTGATTATCATTATTATTCTTATACTTGGAGTGGTCAACACGCTCATGGCGACACGGCTCCCCATCTGTCGCTCATTTCAACCCTTACCCCTTTGCTTTCTACGCCCTTCTTATTCCCTCTCTACCCCTAAACTTCTCCCAAAATCACGGCCCTGTCCCCTCTGGTCTTCTTCTCTTTCACTCTGCCTCCATCTCCGAACTCATCGAAAGTCAACCTCTCATCTTTCTCTCTCCGTCCTCTCATTCTCTGCTTCGCTATCACCGACGCTTTCGGAGTCTCACAAAATGTCGACTACGATCGAAGATAATCCTCTTTTGAAGGACTTCGATTTCCCTCCGTTCGATNCTCTTTCACTCTGCCTCCATCTCCGAACTCATCGAAAGCCAACCTCTCATCTTTCTCTCTCCGTCCGCTCATTCTCTGCTTCGCTATCACCGACGCTTTCGGAGTCTCACAAAATGTCGACTANTTGGTCTTTTGGCAATGAACTGGTTTGAAGGCCTCAATTTTTTTTCTTCTCACTAAAATACATTGGATTGCAAATCTTAATCTATCCAAGGTAGTGTGAACAAAGAGTCTATTGATAATCTGGCGCTTGCCTTTTAGATTTACATCTACTTATTGTTTGCCTTTCATTGTGAATTGATTTGCAGGATCTGGCAAAACTTAGCCAGAAATTTGAGGAGAATGTTTTGGATGCTACAAAGAAATTTGAAAAATTAATAACNTACGATCGAAGATAATCCTCTTTTGAAGGACTTCGATTTCCCTCCGTTCGATGCGGTTGAAGCCAAGCATGTTCATCCAGGGATTCGTGGCTTGCTGGAGAAACTTGTATGTCTTGAGATTATAATTGTGTTTTTTGTTTTGTGTGATTTGTGTGGTTTGAGTGTGTTTGAATTGCAGGAGATTGAATTGGCTGAATTGGAGAGAACGGTGAAACCGACCTGGCCGAAGCTGGCGGAGCCGTTGGAGAAGATTGTAGATCGATTGGCGGTTGTTTGGGGGATGGTTAGTCATCTCAAGGCCGTCAAAGATACTCCTGAACTCCGCTCTGCAATCGAAGAAGTCCAGGTCTCTCTCTCTCTCTCTCTCTCTCTCTCTCCATATATATATATATATATGTTTGTGTGTGTTCTGTGTACATATATCTACCTACAAGCTGTTATATTAAACAGGTGTAGGGGTGGGGGTGTGTGTGCGTGCACGTGTGACTTCAGTTTTTTACATGTTTGGATTGTTATGGTTAATTGATGAGGAGTTAAGTTTTGGGGAAAGATTGTTGTGTTTTTGTCTGGTGCTGTTGGCGTTTATGTTGCTTATTTTATTGTCGCAGCCATTGAAAGTTGAGTTCGAGCTGAAATTGGGGCAAAGCAAACCGATATATAATGCATTTAAAGCTATAATGGAATCTCCTGATTGGGAGTCATTGAGTGATGCTCGTAAGCGGATCGTTGATTGTAAGTATTGGAAAATTATTTCTCGATTTGAACTCTGTACAGTGGAGATTATTTGTTGTCGTTTTGTGTAACAAGTGGCATTATTTTCATAAACTTTCTATTGCAAGAGTTCAAATGTTAAATACATGCATTCTACGTCATTTTTTTCTCTGTGTTTGGATCTGATGGTGTGTACTTTCTTATCTATGTTGTGATGCCTGATTTTGACTTTCCCATGCAGCTCAAATAAAGGAGGCCATCCTTAATGGTATCTCCCTTGAAGGTGAAAAGAGGGACCAATTTAACAAAATTCAACAGGTACGCTGCAATAGCTTTTAGTGAAATTAGTAAGGGATATGAACCTGTCTATCCATTTCATGGATTAAGGTAAATTTTCTACTAAATATTTCCCTTTATCGGACACCTTTTCTTCTATTCATTTTTATGTATTTTATCTCTCACTACTGGACACATTAATGAAAGGGCCATAGGACCCGAATAATCAGCTTGGTGATCTCTGCCACTTTTAAATCTTATTTTGTATTCTTAGCACAGCTGAAATACCGTAGTATGTGCATGCTGTCTTGATACATTAAATTTCTATATTTGGTTGGGGATGGTAAGTAGTTTGCTGAATCATGGAGACCTTTACTGCAATGCTTTGCAAATTATGCAGTGTTCTATGCACTTTTTTGGTCTTTTGGCAATGAACTGGTTTGAAGGCCTCAATTTTTTTTCTTCTCACTAAAATACATTGGATTGCAAATCTTAATCTATCCAAGGTAGTGTGAACAAAGAGTCTATTGATAATCTGGCGCTTGCCTTTTAGATTTACATCTACTTATTGTTTGCCTTTCATTGTGAATTGATTTGCAGGATCTGGCAAAACTTAGCCAGAAATTTGAGGAGAATGTTTTGGATGCTACAAAGAAATTTGAAAAATTAATAACAGACAAGAGAGAGATTGAAGGACTGCCAGCTACTGCTCTTGGATTAGCTGCACAGACAGCTGTGTCTAAGGTGTTTCATCTTGAAACCAAACTTACATGTTTACTAGTTACTGCATGCCTGAAATATAAAATGATCGACTTTCCTCTTGTGTCTTACTCTTTTTGCGTCTGTGTGACATACACAAGGGGCATGATGATGCTACTGCCGAAAATGGGCCATGGATAATTACATTGGATGCTCCGAGCTATATGGCTGTGATGCAACATGCTAGGAACCGAGATTTGCGTGAGGAAGTTTACCGTGCTTATGTAACCCGTGCTTCTAGTGGAGATCTGGATAACACAGCAAATATCGACCAAATCTTGAAGCTGAAATTGGAAAAGGCTAAGCTTCTTGGCTACAATAACTACGCTGAGGTATGATTCTTTATTTGTGAAATGTAGTTCTTTTTCACATGCTGACTGAGGTTCATGTTATCAGGTAAGCATGGCAACCAAGATGGCCACTGTTGATAAAGCAGAAGAGCTACTTGAGAAGCTTCGCAGTGCTTCCTGGAATGCTGCTGTTCAAGGTAGTTTTTTGGATTTATTCAGTTCAGGAATGAATGCCTTTGAATGATGCTGAGTGAATGCTCTACTGAGTGATGTATATAGATAGTTGAATGCCTATATTATATTGTTGAAATGCAGACTGTGGTTGGGAGTCAGTGTCATTGCGTTTTCTTCAATTTTTTTAAAAAATGGTTTCAAGAAATTACCTTGAAAAGACCTCAATTTATTAATCATTGCCTAGTTGTTCCACTTTTTGCATGATATGGGAAAAGTTTAAACCACCAACTTCTGTCATGTAAATTGATGCTTTATCTTGTGATGCCATATTTAGTTTATACTAGTAGCTATACAAGTGCGTTGTACATGAAATTTTTTTAAGAAGTACTTGATTTCTATCAACAAAACATAAATTCCACAATGCTCATACAATTTCTGCATGTTTATAGGACACATTTGGACGACATCATACCACCAATAAGAGAAAAACCATTTGCCTTGCATGATGATCTATGATATATTAAATCTCTATTCAAATGTTCATCTCGTTCATTGGTCACAGTGGTTGACATGGTTGCATTTTAAATTATGTATATATAAATCCGTAGCAGGTCTATGTATTTTTACAAGAAGCCATGGTTTTTCCTAAATTTGAATAAAAAGGACATAAAAATTTAAGTATAAGTTTTTTATGTGGAGGCTGTTGGATATATATGATTAAAAAGGCACTGAAGTAATTAAGTAGTTTCTTAAGCGTTGAAGTCATGACAGGTGAGCACATCCATTTGACAAGAAAATTCGAAGAACTGCACAAGTCCCCTAAAAATAGAAATGAAAAACCAGCAGACAAAGGAACCCATGATTGCAAACACTTTATCTAATACAAAAAATAGNGCGTTGAAGTCATGACAGGTGAGCACATCCATTTGACAAGAAAATTCAAAGAACTGCACAAGTCCCCTAAAAATAGAAATGAATAACCAGCAGACAAAGGAACCCATGATTGCAAACACTTTATCTAATACAAAAAATAGAGAATACATAAGTAGACATGTAAGTATGGTCAAACTGAAATTCACCTTCAAAAACAAAAATTCTCCGACCTATAGTAATATCTCATTAGCCACAAGTAGGATATCCATCAAACATCAGTTGCATGTATTAACAGAAAGTCATTTAATGTCCAAGTGTTCTAGCTATTGAAAGGCCACCAACATCATAACCCTTGAAGAGGAATACAAAAGAATTAAATATCATTATCATAATTCACAACCATACAGATTAAAAATCAAGACTAAGAATAATATTCAACAAGTGTGAAAGTGAAAACGATATTCCTTTGAACCTAATGATTTCCGAATTGTCTTAAGGGCAGGCTTGGGGAGGACAAAATGTAGGAGAATTCACTATGGTATTTGTCGAGAATACATCAGTAGACATATAAGTATGGCCAAATTGGAATTTACCTTCAAAAACAAAAATTTTCCAGCCTATAGTTGTATCTCATTAGCCACTAAGTAGGATATCCATCAAACATCAGTTGCATGTATTAACAGAAAGTCATTTGATGTCCAAGTGTTCTAGCTATTGAAAGGCCACCAAAATCATTACCCTTGAAGAGGAATACAAAAGAATTAAATATCATTATCACAATTCACAACCAAGACTGAGAATAATATTCAACAAGTGCGAAAGTGAAAATGAAATGCCTTTGAACCTAGTGATTTCTGAATTGTTTTAAGGCCTGGCAAGTTGGGGTGGGCAAAAAATGGGAGAATTCACTATGGTATTTGTCGAGGTACGGGCACCAAAAATGAGCAAGAATCGTTGGGTTCTTGACTCACCAAGAAATTTGTGGAGTAGGCTGGTATATCTCCCTACTCAAGAATTTTTCCATCAATGTAGTAATTTTTTTGGTTCTTCAGTTTTGTCGCCTTCGAAATGAATGTGCCAATATATGAATGAACAAAGAAAGAGAGTGAAGGGGCATGTGGAAGGGTGGAGGGAATAGATCTCCAATTTATAAGTGACTATAAACTGAAAATTTATTGCCAGAATTTGTAGATAGAAAANGCCTTCGAAATGAGTGTGCCAATATATGAATGAACAAAGAAAGAGAGTGAAGGGGCATATGGAAGGGTGGAGGGAATAGATCTCCAATTTATAAGTGACTATAAACTGAAAATTTATTGCCAGAATTTGTAGATAGAAAAAATAAAAATTTGCATGACAGCTGACCTTTATAAGTAGTACGATATGATATGATATGAATAATATGGACGTGGATATGGATGTAGACCGATTAAAATAGCAGCTCAACGGTCATTAGAATTTCTTTATAACAGTCCACATTAGTGGGACAATTACATATAATTTAATNTGACAGCTGACCTTTATAAGTAGTACGATATGATATGATATGAATAATATGGACATGGATATGGATGTAGACCGATTAAAATAGCAGCTCAACGGACATTAGAATTTCTTTATAACAGTCCACATTAGTGGGACAATTACATATAATTTAATAATGTTATTAATAACAAAAAAATATAATAGACATTAGGTATTGTGTTAGGGTTATTTTGGTCAAACAAAAGTTTTTCACTTTTGTTGATTTTTGGTTTATATATATATGTAAGGAAAAAATAGAAAAAATAAATTTTTTACAGGATAGCTGACCTTTATAAGTAGTATGATATTATATGAATAGTATGAACATGGATATGGATATAGATCGACTAAAATAGCAGCTCAACGGTCATTAGAATTTCTTTAGAACAGTCCACATTAGTGGGACAATTACATATGATTTAATAATGTTATTAATAACAAAAAGATATGATAGACATTAAGTATTTTGTTAGGGTTATTTTGATCAAACAAAAGTTTTTCACTTTTGTTGATATTTAGAAGTAATATAGATATAGATATAGATCTAAATGTAGATATATATATATAGATATAGATATAGATATAGATGTAGATGTAGATAGATGGCTAGATAGATATAGATATAGGTAGATAGACATAGATATACTTTTACTTTCTTGTAATTCTAAAATTTAATTTCTAATTGTTGAATTNAGATATAGATATAGATATAGATGTAGATGTAGATAGATGGCTAGATAGATATAGATATAGGTAGATAGATATACTTTTACTTTCTTGTAATTCTAAAATTTAATTTCTAATTGTTGAATTCTATTTGTCAGCAGCATATATATATATATATATATGAATTTGATTGCTGCCAATTCTTGGGGTCTGATTTCTTTTTTAACCTTTGTAGATATGGAAGACGTCAAACACTTCTCTAAAGCTCAAGGTGCTCCAGAAGCTGATGATTTGAGCCATTGGGACATCACTTTCTGGAGCGAGAGGCTTCGTGAATCTAAGTATGATATAAACGAGGTTGAAACTTTGTCTCTCACTTTCTCTGAATCTAATTCCGTTTCAAGTTGGATTTTGAAATTGGGTAGGAAGTTTGATACTTTATCCAGCAGAGAAATGCGGATACATATAGATGTGCTGCATGTGCACATCCATATTTATAAAAATCTCTGTTTGTTAATTTGTTGCATGTCTCACTATCACTTTTTATTCATGGTTTTTGTTCTTTCAATACAAGCACCTTACATAATTGAGAAACTCATGTATTTGAGTATAAATTCTGTGANCCTGGCCGAAGCTGGCGGAGCCGTTGGAGAAGATTGTAGATCGATTGGCGGTTGTTTGGGGGATGGTTAGTCATCTCAAGGCCGTCAAAGATACTCCTGAACTCCGCTCTGCAATCGAAGAAGTCCAGGTCTCTCTCTCTCTCTCTCTCTCTCTCTCTCCATATATATATATATATATGTTTGTGTGTGTTCTGTGTACATATATCTACCTACAAGCTGTTATATTAAACAGGTGTAGGGGTGGGGGTGTGTGTGCGTGCACGTGTGACTTCAGNCTGTTATATTAAATAGGTGTAGGGGTGGGGGTGTGTGTGCGTGCACGTGTGACTTCAGTTTTTTACATGTTTGGATTGTTATGGTTAATTGATGAGGAGTTAAGTTTTGGGGAAAGATTGTTGTGTTTTTGTCTGGTGCTGTTGGCGTTTATGTTGCTTATTTTATTGTCGCAGCCATTGAAAGTTGAGTTCGAGCTGAAATTGGGGCAAAGCAAACCGATATATAATGCATTTAAAGCTATAATGGAATCTCCTGATTGGGAGTCATTGAGTGATGCTCGTAAGCGGATCGTTGATTGTAAGTATTGGAAAATTATTTCTCGATTTGAACTCTGTACAGTGGAGATTATTTGTTGTCGTTTTGTGTAACAAGTGGCATTATTTTCATAAACTTTCTATTGCAAGAGTTCAAATGTTAAATACATGCATTCTACGTCATTTTTTTCTCTGTGTTTGGATCTGATGGTGTGTACTTTCTTATCTATGTTGTGATGCCTGATTTTGACTTTCCCATGCAGCTCAAATAAAGGAGGCCATCCTTAATGGTATCTCCCTTGAAGGTGAAAAGAGGGACCAATTTAACAAAATTCAACAGGTACGCTGCAATAGCTTTTAGTGAAATTAGTAAGGGATATGAACCTGTCTATCCATTTCATGGATTAAGGTAAATTTTCTACTAAATATTTCCCTTTATCGGACACCTTTTCTTCTATTCATTTTTATGTATTTTATCTCTCACTACTGGACACATTAATGAAAGGGCCATAGGACCCGAATAATCAGCTTGGTGATCTCTGCCACTTTTAAATCTTATTTTGTATTCTTAGCACAGCTGAAATACCGTAGTATGTGCATGCTGTCTTGATACATTAAATTTCTATATTTGGTTGGGGATGGTAAGTAGTTTGCTGAATCATGGAGACCTTTACTGCAATGCTTTGCAAATTATGCAGTGTTCTATGCACTTTTTTGGTCTTTTGGCAATGAACTGGTTTGAAGGCCTCAATTTTTTTTCTTCTCACTAAAATACATTGGATTGCAAATCTTAATCTATCCAAGGTAGTGTGAACAAAGAGTCTATTGATAATCTGGCGCTTGCCTTTTAGATTTACATCTACTTATTGTTTGCCTTTCATTGTGAATTGATTTGCAGGATCTGGCAAAACTTAGCCAGAAATTTGAGGAGAATGTTTTGGATGCTACAAAGAAATTTGAAAAATTAATAACAGACAAGAGAGAGATTGAAGGACTGCCAGCTACTGCTCTTGGATTAGCTGCACAGACAGCTGTGTCTAAGGTGTTTCATCTTGAAACCAAACTTACACGTTTACTAGTTACTGCATGCCTGAAATATAAAATGATCGACTTTCCTCTTGTGTCTTACTCTTTTTGCGTCTGTGTGACATACACAAGGGGCATGATGATGCTACTGCCGAAAATGGGCCATGGATAATTACATTGGATGCTCCGAGCTATATGGCTGTGATGCAACATGCTAGGAACCGAGATTTGCGTGAGGAAGTTTACCGTGCTTATATAACCCGTGCTTCTAGTGGAGATCTGGATAACACAGCAAATATTGACCAAATCTTGAAGCTGAAATTGGAAAAGGCTAAGCTTCTTGGCTACAATAACTACGCTGAGGTATGATTCTTTATTTGTGAAATGTAGTTCTTTTTCACATGCTGACTGAGGTTCATGTTATCAGGTAAGCATGGCAACCAAGATGGCCACTGTTGATAAAGCAGAAGAGCTACTTGAGAAGCTTCGCAGTGCTTCCTGGAATGCTGCTGTTCAAGGTAGTTTTTTGGATTTATTCAGTTCAGGAATGAATGCCTTTGAATGATGCTGAGTGAATGCTCTACTGAGTGATGTATATAGATAGTTGAATGCCTATATTATATTGTTGAAATGCAGACTGTGGTTGGGAGTCAGTGTCATTGCGTTTTCTTCAATTTTTTTAAAAAATGGTTTCAAGAAATTACCTTGAAAAGACCTCAATTTATTAATCATTGCCTAGTTGTTCCACTTTTTGCATGATATGGGAAAAGTTTAAACCACCAACTTCTGTCATGTAAATTGATGCTTTATCATGTGATGCCATATTTAGTTTATACTAGTAGCTATACAAGTGCGTTGTACATGAAATTTTTTTAAGAAGTACTTGATTTCTATCAACAAAACATAAATTCCACAATGCTCATACAATTTCTGCATGTTTATAGGACACATTTGGACGACATCATACCACCAATAAGAGAAAAACCATTTGCCTTGCATGATGATCTATGATATATTAAATCTCTATTCAAATGTTCATCTCGTTCATTGGTCACAGTGGTTGACATGGTTGCATTTTAAATTATGTATATATAAATCCGTAGCAGGTCTATGTATTTTTACAAGAAGCCATGGTTTTTCCTAAATTTGAATAAAAAGGACATAAAAATTTAAGTATAAGTTTTTTATGTGGAGGCTGTTGGATATATATGATTAAAAAGGCACTGAAGTAATTAAGTAGTTTCTTAAGCGTTGAAGTCATGACAGGTGAGCACATCCATTTGACAAGAAAATTCAAAGAACTGCACAAGTCCCCTAAAAATAGAAATGAATAACCAGCAGACAAAGGAACCCATGATTGCAAACACTTTATCTAATACAAAAAATAGAGAATACATAAGTAGACATGTAAGTATGGTCAAACTGAAATTCACCTTCAAAAACAAAAATTCTCCGACCTATAGTAATATCTCATTAGCCACAAGTAGGATATCCATCAAACATCAGTTGCATGTATTAACAGAAAGTCATTTAATGTCCAAGTGTTCTAGCTATTGAAAGGCCACCAACATCATAACCCTTGAAGAGGAATACAAAAGAATTAAATATCATTATCATAATTCACAACCATACAGATTAAAAATCAAGACTAAGAATAATATTCAACAAGTGTGAAAGTGAAAACGATATTCCTTTGAACCTAATGATTTCCGAATTGTCTTAAGGGCAGGCTTGGGGAGGACAAAATGTAGGAGAATTCACTATGGTATTTGTCGAGAATACATCAGTAGACATATAAGTATGGCCAAATTGGAATTTACCTTCAAAAACAAAAATTTTCCAGCCTATAGTTGTATCTCATTAGCCACTAAGTAGGATATCCATCAAACATCAGTTGCATGTATTAACAGAAAGTCATTTGATGTCCAAGTGTTCTAGCTATTGAAAGGCCACCAAAATCATTACCCTTGAAGAGGAATACAAAAGAATTAAATATCATTATCACAATTCACAACCAAGACTGAGAATAATATTCAACAAGTGCGAAAGTGAAAATGAAATGCCTTTGAACCTAGTGATTTCTGAATTGTTTTAAGGCCTGGCAAGTTGGGGTGGGCAAAAAATGGGAGAATTCACTATGGTATTTGTCGAGGTACGGGCACCAAAAATGAGCAAGAATCGTTGGGTTCTTGACTCACCAAGAAATTTGTGGAGTAGGCTGGTATATCTCCCTACTCAAGAATTTTTCCATCAATGTAGTAATTTTTTTGGTTCTTCAGTTTTGTCGCCTTCGAAATGAATGTGCCAATATATGAATGAACAAAGAAAGAGAGTGAAGGGGCATATGGAAGGGTGGAGGGAATAGATCTCCAATTTATAAGTGACTATAAACTGAAAATTTATTGCCAGAATTTGTAGATAGAAAAAATAAAAATTTGCATGACAGCTGACCTTTATAAGTAGTACGATATGATATGATATGAATAATATGGACGTGGATATGGATGTAGACCGATTAAAATAGCAGCTCAACGGTCATTAGAATTTCTTTATAACAGTCCACATTAGTGGGACAATTACATATAATTTAATAATGTTATTAATAACAAAAAAATATAATAGACATTAGGTATTGTGTTAGGGTTATTTTGGTCAAACAAAAGTTTTTCACTTTTGTTGATTTTTGGTTTATATATATATGTAAGGAAAAAATAGAAAAAATAAATTTTTTACAGGATAGCTGACCTTTATAAGTAGTATGATATTATATGAATAGTATGAACATGGATATGGATATAGATCGACTAAAATAGCAGCTCAACGGTCATTAGAATTTCTTTAGAACAGTCCACATTAGTGGGACAATTACATATGATTTAATAATGTTATTAATAACAAAAAGATATGATAGACATTAAGTATTTTGTTAGGGTTATTTTGATCAAACAAAAGTTTTTCACTTTTGTTGATATTTAGAAGTAATATAGATATAGATATAGATCTAAATGTAGATATATATATATAGATATAGATATAGATATAGATGTAGATGTAGATAGATGGCTAGATAGATATAGATATAGGTAGATAGACATAGATATACTTTTACTTTCTTGTAATTCTAAAATTTAATTTCTAATTGTTGAATTCTATTTGTCAGCAGCATATATATATATATATATATATATTTGATTGCTGCCAATTCTTGGGGTCTGATTTCTTTTTTAACCTTTGTAGATATGGAAGACGTCAAACACTTCTCTAAAGCTCAAGGTGCTCCAGAAGCTGATGATTTGAGCCATTGGGACATCACTTTCTGGAGCGAGAGGCTTCGTGAATCTAAGTATGATATAAACGAGGTTGAAACTTTGTCTCTCACTTTCTCTGAATCTAATTCCGTTTCAAGTTGGATTTTGAAATTGGGTAGGAAGTTTGATACTTTATCCAGCAGAGAAATGCGGATACATATAGATGTGCTGCATGTGCACATCCATATTTATAAAAATCTCTGTTTGTTAATTTGTTGCATGTCTCACTATCACTTTTTATTCATGGTTTTTGTTCTTTCAATACAAGCACCTTACATAATTGAGAAACTCATGTATTTGAGTATAAATTCTGTGATAACCTCTTTGTCTTTGAATGTTCATCTTTTTTTGTTTATAAGCAGTCCTGATGTCTCTAAATTATATTACTACAGCAACAATATTGAGTTTTGTGATTGTGAACAATTCTTCTTGGTGAAATGCCCACTTGTCCAATCATATGCCACCAAGAGTAGGTCTAGTGTTGTATGATGCTGTGGTTAGCATTTTTTTTATTACTATTATTATTTGAGGAAATTCAGGCACACCTCTTAGTGACACCATTTTCATTATTCTTTTGCATTATCTGGGACTTCACCACACCTTCTCCTAGTTTGTATATATCTATTTTAGCCACACCACATGTTGTGAGATATTACTGACAAGTCAAAAGTTACTGAAGTAATGTGAGATTCTTCTAAAAATTCTGCTGTTACCTTTCTTCATTGTGTGTGCGCACACACATCCACTGCCAACAATACACTCGCTAAACACAACAAAATTGAGAGAGAAACTGTCGAACACCACATTTGCACACCCTGCCATGCACATTACTACCGCCACCATGGCTGCCTCTCAGACAAAATGGATTATTGCCACATACCATCCAACCAATTCGACCTGTACCATCAGAATTAAAATATTGACACCCCATCCAACCCTTCCCCATCATCGCATACTAGTGTTAATTTTATAGAGTAATAATTTCAGAGAGAGAGATGCAGTGGGTCAACAGGGTTGAGGGAGGAACTAAGGGGCTGATAGGGTGCAGGAACAGGGAGGTGGAGGCGGTGAGGGAAGATTGTGGGTGGGTGGTGGGGGTGATCGACGGTAGGGGTGGAATGTAGGGGTTATTGGTTCCGATTTATGTGTATATATTTATAGTTCATATATGCAAAAGCTCATCAGCAATTTTGTAGAACAATGGTTTTTGTGATAGACATATACTCCTTGGGGCCAGGCCATGAGAGATTTATCCTCGTGAATACTCTAGTCCCGGCATGGATGATTTGCTTTTGACCGGACAGGAGAGGGAATTAGTCGACGTGCGCATAAGCTGGCCCAAACATCCCTGACCGTTGAATCAAAAAAAAAAAGACAAACACTGAAGGGCGTGTCAGCCATGTTTCAGATAGGAGGTGTGCTGATATTTTCACTTACTTTTAATTCTTTATTGATCAGACTTGCACAAAAAGGTTTCCTTTGTATTGTCATTGGAATTGGGTGAAATTATTGTTCGCGGATGGGAACTTCTCTGTAAGAACTCACAGTTATATATCAAGTCTTTGATGGTTTATGTATAAATGAGGTTGAAACCTAACCTTTATTTGCTTAAATGCTGTGTGGATGCCTGAGCTCTATGTTTTTTATGGAGGACTAAGCTCTATGTTTTTTATGGAGGACTAACGTAGTCTTTCTATAAATTCAACAGGAAGCACTACGGCCCTATTTTTCATTGCCAAAAGTTATGGATGGCCTCTTCAACCTGGCGAAGATGCTCTTTGGGATTGATATTGAAGCAGCTGATGGTTTAGCTCCAGTATATATACTAATTTCTTCATTTTGCTCTACTTCGTTGCTTGTAACATAGCTGATATGCTCATAGGGGTGATAATATACTGCTATTTCGTTTCCAGGTTTGGAACAATGATGTCAGATTTTACCGTGTCAAGGATTCGTCTGGCAGTCCTATTGCATATTTCTATTTTGATCCATATTCTCGTCCATCTGAAAAACGTGAAGGTGCATGGATGGATGAGGTACTTGCTAGAAGCCGTGTATTGTCACGTGATGGTGTCTCCATTAGGCTGCCTGTTGCCCACATGGTGTGCAATCAAATGCCACCTGTGGGGGACAAGCCAAGCCTTATGACATTTCGTGAGGTAATCAAGTGCTTTTAGCTTAAGTGCCTAAAATTTGATTCTTAAATTAATTTGAAAGCAAACCATTTGCCAAATGTAGAAAAGGAAGCATTCATATCTGAAATGACTCACTAAACATTAAAGTGAATGTAATCTTATGAGCATTGCATTTGTACATGGATCTATCATTATTATATTTTTATTTGCCCATTGCTGACTATATTTGCAGGTTGAGACCGTCTTTCATGAATTTGGTCATGCACTTCAGCATATGCTAACCAAGCAGGATGAAGGTCTGGTTGCTGGTATACGGGGCATAGAGTGGGATGCTGTTGAGTTACCGTCTCAATTCATGGAAAATTGGTGTTACCATAGGTATATTTCCCCATTGAACCTTATTTGATGTGCTTTTGTTGTGTGTCTTTTCCTCCATTTCTAGAATGCTATTATTTTATGTTTCTTGAAGAAACAGAAGGAAAAATGCCAACTAAAATGCTGTGCTTACTTAGAGATCTTACTGACAAACACTAGTGTTGGGGTTATCACCAAGATGTCTTGTTTGTTGTAGGAAGACCTGTTTGTAAAGTTGGTTTGTGATAGTAGCACTGCTCAAGTTATGACGTGGTGTGGAAATTTTGCCCACATTTTTGGCATTTTATAACAAAAATATAACTATTGATAGAGCAGAGTGACAAAAAACTATTCATGTAGTCAATGTCAATTAATTGGGACAAAGGTGTGGTTTAGTTTAGTTTGGATTTACTTCATTTATGGGTTGTGGAAAACTTATTGTCACCCTGGATTACCAACTAATCAAATTTCTTACTGAATGCTAACAGGGATACCTTGATGGGCATTGCAAAGCACTATGAAACTGGAGAGAGTCTTCCCGAAGAAATATATCTGAAGCTCCTTGCAGCTAGAACTTTTCGTGCGGGCACCTTAAGTCTTCGTCAGGTCAGTCATATTTTGGGGTTTTGCTTTTTCTATTTTAGCACTTTTTACATGATTGGACTTGAATCCCAACTACACAAATGTGAAGCTTAAAAAATGAGTCAAAATATGAGGGTAGCTACTTTATGTGAATAAAGCCAACGGGTTGTCCAAACCAGCCCTGATATGTTGGGACCAAATTGATTTACATGATAGCAGTACCATGGATGTATGTTTCCAGATTTGCGTGCTTAAGTTTTTTTATACTAAAATTCTGTTAGATCTAGATGTGTACAGTACATCGCACACCTATTATGTCATTTTGGGTAGGTTTACCAGTCCAAAATAGGGTGGCTTAGTGCACGAGGCCGACCACTGCAGGGTCTCTTGTTGATTTTTTCTTTTTGATATATTCTTTTGCTGTTTTGCTGTATGTTTTTTTAAAAAAACACTTCTTAAAAGGTTTAAAATTTCTTCCAGACAGAAATTGCTCTTATTGCCTTACTCTGTCACCGTCTATTGCAATCTTATTGTTGCATTACTTCTTTTTTTTATTTAAGTTACATTTATTAGTTTCCTATAGTTGTTTTGTTATCTCGTGTTCATGAATTCCAGTGGTACACAGGACTGGATTTTTTATTACTCACCAGCTTCCTCTATTTTGTAGATAAGATTTGCTAGTGTTGATCTTCAGTTGCATTCCAAGTACATCCCTGGTGGGTCAGAATCCATTTACGATGTCGATCAAAGGGTCAGCGAAAGGACACAAATTATCCCTCCACTTCCGGAGGATAGATTCCTTTGCAGTTTTGGCCATATCTTTGCAGGTTTGATCTTCCTAGTAATTATACTTGCATATTTGTTAAGTAGCATTTAGACATTAAGCTGAAACTGTTGATGATTTCTCATTACATATTTGTATTTCTTTGGGTGGGGGCATGATTAACAGGTGGATATGCAGCTGGATACTACAGTTACAAGGTACTTTTTCTCATTCGTTTTCCCTTTTTTCCTATGTTGTGCCTCATTTTCCTTTGTGGGATTCTGCTTGTTTAGTTTTCCTGTTTTTATTTTCAGCCCCACTTCTCATATATCTTTCTCCTTTGATACAATCACTGTTTTTGAATTTGAGGACTTGAGTTGTCAATCTACTATAACATTAATTATTTAAAATTTTGCAGTGGGCAGAGGTTTTGTCTGCGGATGCTTTCTCAGCTTTCGAGGACGCCGGATTGAATGATGACAAGGTATGGTGGAAATGGATGTTCAAGAACAGATTATGTATTTCACCTAGAGTTTTCTTACACTCATTCCTCATTAAGCTGTTGAGAAGAATTGATCTTTACACTACATTTATTAATACTTATAACAACATAATAGACTTCTTGAAGTGCTACTTAAACAAAAAACTCGCTTGTTCCAAAAAGTTTAGAAAATGGATGAATTTTGTTGTATATTCTCGAAACACCTCCCCATTGTCTGGTTTTGCTGAGTTGTTTCATTTCAACTTACCTTGGAGATTTTATTCATTACATAAAATTTTAAGATGCAACTTTTGAAGTTGAACTAATGTCTCACCTCCCATATATGTTTTGTGTTATTGCATCCTGTGTTGATAAGGCGGCTTCCGCTTGTTAAATGTTCACAATTTTATAAGGTAGATTACCAGAACTAGTTTGAGCTTGCCTAGGCTTCTTTTGTCGCATTTACCCTCTTCACCATGTTTTGGACATTTGTATTTAACTACTACTCAGATCTTGACTTCTAATTACCAAAAGAATGAGTATTACGTTATAATACACTAGATGTTATAAGGTCTCTTTGCTGTACAGATTGTTTACATGGTCAAAAGCTAACATTTTTTGGATCTGCTTTTTGAGAGCCATTAGTTCTTCAAATCTGCCTTCCTTGTGATGCACTTTTACATTAGCTTTACATTTTTGTTATCCCACTTTATGCGTGTGAGAATAATTTTGGAAGCAAATAATTCCAGAGTCCCTGGAAAAATTGTCCTGAAAAGACTCCCCACAATTCTGGCTCAGATAACCCGTTATTCCTTTATTCAGTTAATGATTGGAATGTGCCGAAACATGATCAAGGGCACCTGATTCTGTAAAACGATGTTATTGGGCAGATTTTAACGTGTGACATCAGGGAACTTGACAATTTCCTAGTCCTGGTTCCCACTGACTGGGAAAGTTGGGCGAAAAAAAATGAAGGTTACAACTAATTCTGGGTCTGTTCACTTGAATGTTGTTGCTACGGTTCCATCTCATATTTTTCCACTAGTTTGTGGTTCGTAATCTGGATTTCCTTTGTTTCCTGCTTATAGTCCTCTAGCAGATTAGTGTTATTTTTCATCTGGACTTTACCAAAGAAAGTTCCTCTTCCAAGAGAACAACCTCTCACAAAAAACTTGATGCAATAGCACACATTGCTGTGTACTCTGATCGGTAACTATAGATAGGTTACAATTTGTTTAGCAAGTTAAAATTCAGTTGTTCTGACCAAATGTCACTGCCATTTTAGTGAAGGATTATGTCTAACATTTGGGAGTTAAAAGAATGATAAATGTTCTTTCTGTTTTCTTGGAGTTGTGGAAACAGGCTGGTTATGCATTATGAGTGATTTATTTGTGGTGATATCCGGGATTTGTGATGTGATTTTGTTTTGTGGTCCTGTCTACAACTTCGTTGCTGTTACTTTGTTATGCATTAGATTTACGTGAAAATACAAATTAGCAAGTTGCACATTTGATTTATCATGAAGATGGGTCTCTATGCAACAGGCTGTAAAAGAGACCGGGCACAGGTTCCGAGAGACTATACTGGCCCTTGGAGGTGGAAAAGCACCACTAGAGGTTAGTTAGACATGACAGTGCGCTTAGCTTATTGTTCTTTCATAGTTTTTGCTCAATAGGGGTAAACTCACCAACTCGGGAGGGAGTGTAGCCATGCCTACTACTAGTTTTCTTCCTAACCTTGACTTGGCTAATTTCCATTTCTTCCCTCAACTTCGCTAAATTTATTCTCTTAATGATTCTGTGATGCTATGTCCAGGTTTTTGTGGAATTCCGGGGGCGGGAACCTTCTCCCGAGGCACTGCTCAGGCACAATGGCCTGTTGCCAGTCACGGCCTCTGCATGAGGTTTTGTCATTAGTCCTATATTCAGCCGGTCAATGCACTGACAAGACTTTTGCGCTTCCACCCGTGTCAAGAAATCCGGCTGCCTACACAGAAGGCCTCTAGATACTGCACAGAATAAATGTTGGACAAACCAAACCATTGTCTTTTCAGTCGAGTGACCGACTCCTGTGTGAGTGCTTCAATGCAATTCAAGATGGTAACTTTTAATACTAGATTTTCTCATGCCGATGCCCTGCTTTTGTTCTCTTCCTGTGTATTTGTGGTTGTGCACTTGTGCGTGTGTGTGTGTGTGTTTTTTTTTCCGTGTGCGTGGGTTGCTGTCGTGCAGTAGAGGGCTATATAGACAGACCCCACCGACAACCCCACGTCATCCCATGGCCCTCTACTGAGGAGACAACGCACCTCGAAAAGAGAGGACTAGGTTTCTAGATGCAACTGATAAAGAATGCATTTTGGTCTTTCGGGCAATAAATCTCTGAAATTGTATTAATAATTCTTTTTTTTTTTTTTGAAAAATACTAAATAAACTTAAAAATTTGACGTAACGAATCACTACTATTGAATAGGTAGTAGGTTTTAATAAATTTTGAGACCTATAATTAAATTAATGATAAATATAATAGTCATATCAGCAAATTGAATTTTCAAATCAATATAATGTTGTTCTTTTTTTTTTTTCGCATTTAGGGTGCGGAGTGTATTAGTTCGCGAGGGATGACAACTAATTGGGTATTTGAGTACAATAATTTGTTATTGAGTGTATTAAAATATGAACAAAAGAAAATGTATTAATCCATCCCTCACGGCCAGTAGTTTGGTGTTCGACACCATTGACTGATTCTTTTTCTTGAATCAGAAAAAAAAAAAAAAAAACTTTGTGAGACCCCTTACAGTTGGTTAATTATAACACTTCACTTCCAACATCCGAAGTCACAAATAATAATAAGTAAATTAGTAGAGGAAAATCATCGTTTTTTTTTTGTTCATAAAAGGAAAATCATTGACTCATGAGTCATGGCCCACTAATCATAATTCTAAAGTCCTAACGTGGTGTTTAAGATGCTTGCCTTCAAAGAGAAGGTTAAAGTTTCTGAAAATTTTTGTCCAATAATGATTAAGTGTTGTGTTTGTGTGATCCACGTATCATGTACACCAAACTTATAATGACTAAAAAAAATTTATTTAGTATATTTTAAGTATTAAATATTAATTTAAATTATTTATTATATATATTTAATAATTATTTCAATTTTATAATTATCTGTATCAAATGTCAAATTCATATCAACGGAAGAGAGTTGGCAGCTTTAAATGATTGCAAGCGGTTCTGATAAATGTATTTGGAGGGGAAAGCCCCAATGTAATTTCAAGCTGATTTAATGAAATTCTTAACCATTTTATACCTAAAAAAAAAAAATCACATGACAAAGGCCATCAGTTAGGTCTAATCTCATTTTATACCCAAAGATGCTCAAATTCTCAATTCATACCCTAAAAAATTTTAATTTCTAAATTACACCCTTAGTATCACATGAAAACTGCAACGTGATACAAATCCAAACTTTTTTTAATTTATTTATAATTTTTCGTTTTTAGGCAAAAAAGTGATCAAAACTTTCGGTTCTCTCTCTGTCTCTCACATGGTCTTCTGCATTACTCTCTCTCTCTCTGTCTCACACACACGCGCACACACACAGAGCCAACAATGGCGAGAGCCGGGGGAATAACGAACGCGGTAAACGTAGGGATAGCAGTGCAAGCAGATTGGGAGAATCGGGAATTCATATCTCACATTTCTCTCAATGTCCGTCGCCTCTTCGACTTCCTTGTCCAATTCGGTAATGCTCAAATTTTCCTTTTATTTTTCCTCCTCAAAATCTCATCAAAACTCAAATATTATTAGGTTTCTTCGATCTGAAATTCTGAAAGTTTTTATCCGGCATTGGATTGAGTGGTACCTTGAAATTTGATGCCGACTAATACTAACACTACCTTAAATTTAGTTCTTTGATCTTGATTTTTGGCTGATGTATTTTTTTTTCTTTGGGGGGGAAAAAATTCCTGAGCATGCCAATATGATAAGAATCGTGTTTTCAGTTTCAATTTCATTGGAGAATCTAGAGACAATACTGAGGCATTAACTAATTAGTTGGACTTTTTTACAGAATGAGTTATATTCATATAAAGAATTTTCAGGGTTTTGGCATATTCATTATAAGAGTTTCATTCCATTTTACTCTATAAGCATATGATCAATGTGTTGAGAGCTTCAAGTGAATCTACACCTACTAATGCAACTACTTAGCCCTTATATGTTTCTGTGGTCTAAGCTCCATCTAAGTCCTTCCAGTGCTCAATCCAATAAATGCATTGGCCCATCAGCCGTCCTCTTCTCAGTATCTGTACAAGTTTCGTTTGATCATGACTTTGTCTGCTTTAACATATTCTTGAATGAGTTTGTTTCTGGTTAGCACGTTTGAACTTGTTAGTTGGGTTGATTGTTGGCTGCTTATTTACCTTTGATGCATACTTTTGAATTCTTGCATGATTTGGTATGTACTTAGGTCCTGATTCATGAATAGGGTTTGTTTTTTCAACTTAATTTTTGGAATGTTTTTATCCCAATCTAAATTGACTCGTGTATCCTTAATTCATTTTATTTTTTGGAATATATGATGCCCGCGAGGTAGAATTATGTGCGATTTTGAATATAAGAAGTTTCAATTTTTTCATCATGATCTCATTGTCTTTCAGAGGCTACAACAAAAAGAAAGCTGGCATCATTGAATGAGAAGCTGGATATACTAGAGCGTCGTTTAGAATTGGTTGAAGTCCAAGTGGGTTCTGCAACAGCCAGACCATCTCTGTTTACTACCTGATGGTAACTGGATTGCAGCATTGTAGAATATAGCTTGCATGTAAGCTACCTCTTATCTGGACTATGTCATTATAGTGTGATCTGGGAATCCAGCTTGAAGCCATAATCACTAGGTTTCTTATACTTAGACAATGGAATGGGTTTAGGTTCTTTGTCATTTTATTTATCTTTTTTAAGTTGTCAGAACACAAATTCATGCATAGACTGTTACAGTGAATCATTGTCCAAAGCTGAATGGCATATAGGTGGTTGTGAATGTGGGAAAAAAAATCTCTTGTCATCATTATAATCGACTGAACAACATGCTCCTACCTTTTGGGTTGGTTATCTAGGTTCATCACATTTCGCATACCATTGACGGCCCACATATCTTTGGTCTTCTCCTTGTTCTTGTACCTCCTTTGGTTAGAAACACATCACTCTTTATTGTTGCAATCATCGGTTGTGTTTGCAGATTCAGTACAATTTCCTTTCGCTAGCCTTTCCATCCTCATGGGGTTGCCACACGTTTCTTACACATGCAGTCTTGTATCTTACTTTCCTTTCGCTAGCCTTTCCATCATCAATTGCCAATCTTTTTGTTTTGCAAAGCATTCCAGGGTTCAATTAGGTTAATGCATGAACATGCTGACTTTTAATTGTCTTTGTTTTGCCTTAGATCTGTATATTAACACTCCTAATTCATCAATGTTCCTCATTTTATTCAGCGGTGTCTTCTTCAATCCTTCTCTCCTCAATGATGTAGCACCCAATACTCTGATGTACTGCCATATTGAACCTGTACACTCTTCTGTTTTGGAAAGTTTTCCTGCCTATAAAAATGATGTCAACATTACAGTTATGTCTTTGATGTGGCTGATGACAAGCCATGTTCATAGCATGCGCTTTTCAGTCACCTTCACCTTTTTTTAGTAAGTTCTTTCACATTCCTGTATAGGGTGAAAGACTACCCATTCTTTTGCATATGAGTAATCTCTTGCCTCTGAGTGAGAAATTCACCCAAATTCTGAAGAATATCTTTTTTTGTTTCAGTCAAGGAGCTTATATATGGATGATGAGATTTCCAGATGTGCACATCAAGAATACCCTCGGACTGGGCTTCTGTAGAAAACGGTCTACAGCATTTGCCTCATCGGTTTTTTTTTTGGGGGTTTTCTTCCTTTTCTTGGACTTAATATTTTGTACTCCTGAGGACCCTCACTTGGATCTTCCTGGTTGAATTTTTGATTGATCTGATGTCTATGCAAAAGATCATTGGTTCTTTGACTAAGATTGACAACTGAACCAATTTTATAGCCTACCCATGGGAGTCTCTCTAAAATTTGAAAATCAAATGGTTATTTTCCAATTTGGTCCTTGTGAATTGATGTCCTACGAGGGCAGATGGATACAGTCCTTGTATTCAACATTATTTGCATAGTTACTTTCTCATGTTTGAAACCATAGCCTCGTCACAGTTGTTAGTTCGGCTCTTTTACCTCCAGGCAATAATTAAATGATTTTGGCTTAAAAAAATTGAATGAACATCAAGTTGTATAGTCTCATAGAAAAGAAATGAGTTGTCAGCATCAATTTAATTTTCTCTTTTATTGTTACTATGCAATATGACTAAGCTGATCATTACTCGCAAACAACGATTCTCCCATCCGGCCAAATGATTATCTTGGTTGTGGAGGAGTTGGTTGTGAAAGGATAGAGGATGTTTCTGTTTGAGCTGGAGTGGGTGGAATAACCATCGACCTGTCTACAGAGAAGCGATTGGATCCCCCAAAGCTGTCTAAGGACTTCATGTATTCAGATGCATTGTTCTCTATGATCAAAGCATCCTCTAGCTCTCGGACAATGTCGGACATGCATGGTCGGTAAGCTGAAAAAGGCTCAATACATGACAGTGCCACCTCCACCACTCTCCACATTGCTTCTGCATGGTACCCTCCCTTTATGCTAGGATCTATGATTTCGTCAATTCTTGAGTTCCTTATATACGGTTTGGCCTGTATGTTAGTGGTGCTTCTATGTTAGATATAGAATCCGCACATTGCAATCAAATAGTTAATCAGCCAAAACAAAAAGGATATGACTATGAGTAGCTAACAAGAAATGCCAATCGAAAGTCCTAACGTCTCAGATGCAATTTTCAAAGAACATCTAAAACTGCCAGTGAATTTCTGAATGAGTCTACGTATAGTTGTGAGCCAAAAATGCANGTCAATCATAAGTCCTAACGTCTCAGATGCAATTTTCAAAACTGCCAGTGAATTTCTGAATGAGTCTACGTATAGTTGTGAGCCAAAAATGCACACTGTAGATATTCATTATATTATGAGCACTATAGTTGTTCTAAAATTAAAAAGATTTTATGACATTCTGTTTTTCCTCCTTTTCTGAGAAAAAATGGAATGAGAGAAAGTCGTGATATTTTCAACATTTAGACGTGAAAGGGTGGTGGGCATGTAGGCCCATTTTATGATATCCTTAGAGTGGTGGGCATGTTGGAGTACTTTTGGTCGAATGTACTCTTTGTTTTGTGGAAGCTTAACGAGTTTCAACTGCTTCTTCCCTGACGTTACATGAGGAGTTAGAGGGTCTGAGGTCAATAGTTCAAGTTCCACTTGCCCCTCTCCTTCCCCCAAATAAATAAATAAATAAAATGCAGTCCATTTTAAGATATCCTAAGAAAAGCATTATATGTGGAACTTATATTCAAGCTAGANAAAAATAAATAAATAAATAAAATGCAGGCCATTTTAAGATATCCTAAGAAAAGCATTATATGTGGAACTTATATTCAAGCTAGAAGACATGGAGATTGAACCATACCCATTCAACTAAGCTCCACTCGTTTCGAGGCCTGTGTATGTTGAGAGGCTCTCGACCACTTATTATTTCAAGTAGAACAACTCCAAAGCTAAAGACATCACTTTTTGCAGAAAACTGCTGTGTTGAATAATACCTGATCAACAAACATTTATAATAGATTCCAACAAAGATGAAAATTCACGAAGATTCTTCAAACCAATATAATGAAAGTAAGAAAACTGTTACGATTGGAGCTTTTAGGTAAATAAGATTAGGGATTTAAGAATGTTCTTCATGTGAAGAAGATTTAAGAGTAATGATCATAGTTTGTTTACTACAATAATCGGTGGTGTATCATTATCTAATAGACTAGCATAGTTGAAGTCTCAAATCATTATGTCAGCATAGAAGATGGTGTACTTACTCTGGATCCAGGTATCCAGCTGTCCCCCTTACTTCCAGAGAAGCGCCACTATCCCCTTCTTGAGGAGCATATTTTGAAAAACCGAAGTCTGCAACTTTTGCGCACATGCTATGATCTAGGAGTATGTTACTTGATTTTACATCCCTATGTATGACGCAGCGCCCAGAAAATGTGTGAAGATGTGTCAAGCCTGAACGATGAAACCATTCTTTAACATTCAGTTATATTCAAAACGAAAGAAAAAATAAGGAAACAAAATCTTTGGTTGAATCAACCTGTTTCTGTTATTGTTCTTTCATACTTTCTTCTCTCGCCATTTTGGAGAGAGAAAGCGATCAATTTACGTGGGTCACCATTTTTCACCTAGACTATCTCTGAGCTCAAAGGTGTGGACACCAATGATTCAATATGTTTTCCTATTTGATATGGAGAATGTAAAAACATAAGTGTCTCTACAGAGAATGGGGAAGCATAAGTGTCCCTTCATCTTGCGCCTATGAGCTTTACAGAAATGCACAAAAGAAGAGGGTGTTTGGCAGAGATCCCATGGGGCTTACATCAAGATATGCTCACTGTGGAGATTGTAATTTTGTCTGCTAAATGAAAGCAATGAAACTAGGCTCGCAAAAACATCTGCATTTTGTGGAACCTTCACAATGGGCCTTTTCGACAAAGTGTCATTATTGTTCTTTAGCAGTTATTTAGTGGTAATCCTCAACTTTTTGTCTCATTCATTTCATTTTAGAGCATTTACAACTTATTCTTTTTCGTATTGTGGTTTCTTGTGACTACTATAATTATTTGAATTTTATGTTTGTTCCAACTAATTAGTTTTAGTCTGTCGCCTTACATAGCTTCCTTAAATTCTGCTATCTCTGATGATTTGAACTGTTTTATACAGTAACTGTTAGACTTGATGGTATATTTCTGGGACTATGTCCAAACTGATGGTGTACGGACCAAGAAAGATGTAGTGAATGTCATCTGGAAACATTCAACATGAATCTCAACATTGATTTTTCTCTGCTTGTTCTATTTACTTTATGATGCAGTAAGCCTATCAACACAGTTTATAAGGGGGTAGAAAATAAAACATCCATAAATGTAGAGACCCCATATACTTGCCTCGAGCTGATCCTAATGCAATGGAAAGCCTGGTTGCCCAGTCAAGAGTTTTTCGTTTTGCTGCTTCTCCTGTTGAAAGGGAAAATATAAGCGAAGAATTGGATATTAAAGTGGCAAGTTGAGAGAGTTCTGCATTTAGATGAGAAGTACCATAGAGGCGATCTTGTAGGGAGCCATTCGACATAAAAGGATAAACAAGGATTTGTTGGTCATTCTCACAACAGTAACCAAGAAGTGGGACAAGATTCTCATGCCTAATAGCTGAGAGAAGGTTCAACTGAGATAAACATCAATAGCAATTGTCAGTTGGCATATCATGAAAGAAAAATTCAAATCTGTTTGGTTTAATTGATTATTATTATTATGGATCCTAATTCCTAAGATATTGAATTAAAAAAATAGGTTGAAATTCCTTTTCAATCAATTTCTATGACAAACATATGTAATCTTAAAGATCAATTTATAAAATTGAAGATAAGGGTCGTGGTGACTAAAACATGATTAGTCATTCCATTGGTACAAGTCTATTTCCAGCGAAAAGATAGGGAAAGCAATGTTTAAACAAGAATAAAAAAGAAAATTCTCAAAAAGAAACCAGGTATTTTCTTGGGCCCATGGAAACGTTGTTTTTGGAATTCAGATGGTACATGTCTAGTTGGTATGTGCGGATATGAATATCATCTGGGGAAGTTGTTTTAGAGTACACAATAGGTATGAATACCTCATTATTGAATTCGCGAGTTCCTTGAGTTGAGGTGGCTGACCGTANGATGGTACATGTCTAGTTGGTATGTGCGGATATGAATATCATCTGGGGAAGTTGTTTTAGAGTACACAATAGATATGAATACCTCATTATTGAATTCGCGAGTTCCTTGAGTTGAGGTGGCTGACCGTACCTTCACAGCCACCTCTTGACCATCAGATAGTGTACCACGGTAAACAGATCCGAAGCCTCCTTCCCCTATTAAAGTTTTGTACTTCTGGGTTGCAATTTCTATGTCGTTCAGAGTAAAACGCTGTATGGATATTGATTTCAAAACAATATCATCCATGCTGGGCATTGAATAAATTGCATCTGCATTTGATGAAAAAGTTTTATTGAGAAACTATATTCCCTCATAAAGCAGGTAATATGTCGATCTGGGAAGAAACATAAATTAGCCTTGGGGTCTACATATGACCCCACAGTGACTACAGAAATTGCTCTTAATTTGAGAAAGGAAACTTAAAAACAGAGAAAAGAGAAAAGAAGAGAGACAGATGATGAAGTAGTTACATTGTTTTGTTCCTGCTCATTCCAAATTGATTCCAATTGAGTTTCTCAAATCTCATCCTTGCTTATTCCATCAGTGTTTATGTCTATGGTAACTGGGAAAACAAGTTGTTGGTTGATGATAATGTTCTTATAAGTGCTGCATTTAATGGTGAAACCAGACTGGGGGAAGCTAATGAATTTGCTCAAGTACACAACAGATATTCAGTATATAATGAACTGTAGTTTCTATATTCTGAAAGTTCCAGGATATATATATGGTAATCAAATTTTAATATTGTCAACATAAGTTCAAAAAAGGGTCCTGCTGTTTGAGTAAGATCTCCCGGCATCCTGAAACTATATTTAGGAGATCTATTTTTTTTTATTTTTTTTGGGAGGGGGGAAGAGAATAGAGTACTCACTCTTTGTCATTGGGTGTCCTTTCGCTTCAATCTTCCCCTCAGCCATAAATCTTTTTTTGTAAAAGTAAAGAAAGAAAATTCCGACTCCAACAGTGACTAAGAGGGATCCACCTGCAACTATGCCAATGACAATTCCTCGTCTGGAACGGGATGATCCTTGACCATCACACACTCCATTACTGAAAGGTAGAAAACCAATCAGAGAAAATTAGTTCACACTCTCGTGTCTGCGTCTTATCAGTACAAATGTTTGCTCGTGTTCAAGGCATGAATTTCCTACTCTGTTTTGAGCCTTGATCTGTTGAAGCTCTCTGGAAGCTCTTTACTGAGATGAGGATTGCAGCCGACGTACCTAGATGAAGAAAGAAAAAAATATAACAGATTAGACACGTTTCTTGATAAACATTTCAGAGAAGTCTTAATTTATGCAAAATTTGCAGTTTAATGTAGGCTAACAAGAAGTTACAAATAACTTACAATGTTTTCAAATATGGAAGTGAGGTAAGTGACTCTGGAATCTTTCCCAGGAGGTCATTGTGGCTCAGATCCCTATTAAATCAATGCAAATCGATTCAGCAAACAAAACAAGACAGTTTTATAATGTGTTTGTTTTTGTTCTTGAATTTAATGCAGCATGTTGTCACTTGTATGATCATCAAGGATCAAAATATTGTTTCGAAATAGTCGAAACGTTTCCGTTTCTAAGGAGACCGAAACGAATCAGTGATGCAATCGAAATTCTAATATTTTGAGGTACTCTATAATGTTTCGAGATATATTATAATATTTCAATGCATTTGCACAATTGTTTTGGAATGTTTCAAAGTATTTTAAGATATTTTGATATATTTCAATCAATGTTTTAGAAAACTAATTCTTAAATTTTTTATTTTTTTCATTATGTTTCCGAAATGGGTCAAAATATTTCTGAAACACGCCGAAACGTTTCCATTTCCGTTTCCGTTTTCTAGGTGACTGAAACAATATACCAAAACGAAATTTTGATCATTGATGATCATAGAACNGGTCAAAATATTTCTGAAACACGCCGAAACGTTTCCGTTTTCTAGGTGACTGAAACAATATACCAAAACGAAATTTTGATCATTGATGATCATAGAACATTTTGGTTTGATCAGCCCCTTAAAATGAAAGCTCAGGAGTCACAGTGTGCATTTGTTAAGTATAGATGTCAATTATTTATATTTACATGTAAATCATGTCATACATTTGTTGAACTGTGCATATATTTGTTAATATTCTATTTGACAGATGGTCGTACAGTATAGGAACAAAAGAAATTGGTATTCAAAGTATCCTCACAAATTCAGTTAGTGGATGCTGTTATATCATGCATTCCTTTTAACTCACAGTCTTATTCTGTTCTGCTGATTTAATTGGCCAAATTTTTCTCCAGCAAAAACAGAAGAAAGGGACTATTGCTACTTGTTTGATTCTAAGCATCTGGTCTAGGGGTTTTCTAAAAGATTGTAAATCTTTGCATCTAGGATTCATCAACGAAAGATTCTAACAATGGAAGGAATATCAAGACTTCCCCATTCCCTTCGACGATTATACTTATGGTAATGTTTCTAGTACTAATGCAGTGTCTAGGATCACATAGAAAGCATGAATATGAGTTTTTTGGCTAGACCATGCAATCAGTTGGAAGGAAATTCAAGGAGTCATTAGGCAGAAGGAATAAATCCATCCACAACTAGTAGTTGTACCCTTACCAAAGAGAAGGTCATACTCCATTGATCCTCTTGGCCAAAACTCATGTTAAAAAATCAAATAGAGTGGATTGGTTTGAAGAATGAATTCGATTCTTTAGTTGATTAGGAGTATATCGCTGCATGCAAGGTTCTAAGGAAACAGAGTTGTCCTGTTCATTTCCCTCCAAAGTTGTTGGCTGGCTGTAGTATCTGTGATCTGTTGATATCCCTTACAGCCCTTAAATTCTTTAGAATTGCAAGTACTATGAATTACAGTGGTTGTGGAAACTTAAGTGATATGACTGAATTATTTACTGCAAAGATTTGAGTTTAAAAGAGTAAATTACACTGAGATCAATGCAGAGGAAGCTGGGAATAATGGGATGGTGCCTGTGAACCCATTGTTGCTCATGTTCCTACATTAATACAAAAAAATAGTAAACAACAAACAAAATTAAACAATGTCTTGTAAAACATAGAAAAAAGAGATCTAGCCACAAACAACATCAACACCCACAATAGCAACCCAGTAAAGAACAGCACTGCTAATCATACAATTCTGTCAGGCGGCTCAGTTGAGTGATATTTGGAGGAAGTGAACCTTGAAGATTACAGGAAGAAAGATTCCTGAAAAGAAATAATGGTCATGATCATAAAAAAAAAAAAAGAAGACTGAACAGATAATGCTTAACTTATTATATCACGGTATGTATGTCAACATCGTGTCTTTAAGATAACCGAATCACAAATTTGGTGAGATAAGTTATAGATTTAACAATAAGTCGTGTACAAATAAACCCAAGTGCACAACTTTCATTAAGGTTTGAAAAGCAGATAACTTACAGCTTACTGATGACTGTGGAACCGTTAATAGGCTCGCAAAATAGACCTTGCCAGGGAAGAGGAAGACATGGGTCCCCTGACCAACTCTTCAAGACTTCATTATCCTGGTTACGCTCCAACAACTCTCTCCTCACATCTCCAATCACATCCACTGAAGAGAGAAAGAGAGAGATTTAAGTGTTTTATAAACTTTCGAGTAACACCAGTAAGATCACTAGATTTTCGGATCATGAAGGGGAAGATTTTTGTGTGCATGCGTGTTCGTAAAGAACTGTGTATGCAATCATGCATGCAAAAAAAAAAAAAATCATGCATGCATGTACTTCTGATAATTATATGTGTCCATATACATAGAATAAGAGCTTAAAATATGGGCTCACCATCTCTTTGAACGGTCTCTTGAAGCCATGGGTGAACCTGTAAAATCTCGTAAGCATTGCAAATGGGACCCAGTTGGGATCCATTTGACGCCTTAACCATGGTCAAATTAAGAAACCCATTTGCAGTGAAATTCAATACGACAGCGTAGGAATTGGAACCACCCGCCAATATATCAATCTCTCGTCTCTTTTCGTTGTTGATGTAAATGTCAAACACTCTTTGAGTGACTTGAGCAGAATCATTGAGCTCAAGAAAGTAAAGGAAGAGATCGTACTCATGGTACCCTGTGTCAAGGTCATTGTGTAGGAACTCCAGCCGCTCCGGATGGATTAGAGCCGTTTGTAGTACTTGGATTGGAGGGACCGTTAGGTTAGCACTGGTGATGGTGGTGTTGGCAGAGCTTGATGATGTCGGAGTAGCATTTTGATCAGGATTTAATTCTGGCCTCCAGATACGATCATACGGGTCATGTGGATACCTGAGGTGTGAACATTAAACATGTTACAAGAGTTCCTAATCCCTATTACTGCTTCTTTGTTGGGCTTTCTTAGTCACCCTTGCATTTGTTGCAAAACCAGTTTTAATTAATTTTTGTGCAAATGCAGGTTTCTGACTGCAGTAATTTAAAACAAGAGTTGTAGAATGTTAGCTGGATTCTGGAAAAGTTCAGAGCTGGTAATGGTGACAATGATAGAAAATGGTAGTAGAGTTTGGTATAAGCCCACTTTTAACAATAGAGCAGGTAGCGGTGGTGGTGAGTTAAAAGTAATACTATGGGAGAAGAGAAAATTTCAATGCTTTCATTCTACTTCCTATGGAAATGGTAATTAAGGATTATGAAATGTAATTCCTATGGTACCTATTCTAAGATAAGTAGTTCATCTGGTGCCTGTTTTAAAAACTTTTCAGTGGTTCATTTAATGGGACAGATCAAATTCTCACCTCAAACAACCAACATTTTAGCTGGTTTCTGTTTTTTATGCTTGATTTTGGATATAAACAAAGTAGGTAGGATACCTGATCTCCTGTCCTGTGTTCCCAACATCAACTCTATCTATGACTTTAAGAACACTAGAAGGCTCCCTCTCCAGATAATCTGAATTCACAGGCCTCAGTTCCAGCTTTGAAATGTAAGGCTCTCCCTTCTTTGTCGATAAGCAGAAGTTAAAATGGTTATTAGTAGCTTTCAAGATTCCCTCTACCTCTGAAGGAGCAGACGAGTTCACTAGGCCTATTTGTGTAACACCAACCAAAACGTCAAAGGAGCCTGGAGCCGTATTCTGGAGATCACCGAAAAGGAATGTACCCCTGATCAAATAGTCTTGATCCTTCTCTGCTGTTAGGTTATAACACCATTTGGTTCCTAATTGTGAGGGAAAAAATCGAGCTTTATCATACAATGTATCGTTTTGCGCCGCCCTTTTTATCTGTTGGCAATTCAACTTGTCGGGGTACCAATTTTCATCCGTTATCCAAGTTATGTTACTATTTGGATCTGTAACTTCTGAATCAGCACAACACTGCAAACTCACAAACCCTGTTGAAAATCACATTAGAAAATCAGAAAAATTCGGGATTAACATTAACCATAGTTGACCTGTGTTAGAAAATTAAAAGACTTAACCAGTATTTTTCTGTTTTTCAATTATAGCCTCAGATTCTTAAAAATTATGCTTGTTGGTAGCCTTTATAATATGGCTCTAGCTTGGCAGTACAAGGTGAATACAGACAATTTCTTAATGCCAGTTATAGTCTGATACTTTTTTTATGTTGAATTAATAGTAGAAGAAGATGGATCAATCTTGATCTACCTAACTGATTGTCTTAAATTTACAGGTTCACAATCGAATTGGAGGATATTAATAATTGGATCGACTAATTTCGATTCTTCTGAAAATAACAACGGATCTATCTGAAGAAATTGTGATTATTCTGTTCATTATTCTTCTGACTAGTAAACCAAAATTGTATATAATTGCATACATACCTTTTTGTGCACAGGTAGATTGTATAAACAGTAAGAGGCAAAGGATGCAATGGCTCCATCGGGTCATCAAACTCATAATCGGACTTCCTCACTTATGAAAGTCCTCTGAATTCCATGAACTTAATCATTCCTTGTTTGCTAGATTCTCAGAAACAGAGAAGATGGTTTTGAAGAGGGTAGATAGAGATTTGCTAAATTGGGGCTTTGACTTCAAATGAAGGTTTTTCAGAAGCATTGGAAGGAAGATGGTTTGAATTAGAATAATCCTTGTTTGATTATCATTGTTGTGTTTAATAATTAACTTTGATTAATGTTATTGTTTTGTTTTGGTGGTGGGGATATAATTTTTTTAGTACNGATCCGGTTTGAATTAGAATAATCCTTGTTTGATTATCATTGTTGTGTTTAATAATTAACTTTGATTAATGTTATTGTTTTGTTTTGGTGGTGGGGATATAATTTTTTTAGTACTTAAACAAATTTTGTTTATAATAATGTTGGATTAGCAACCCCTTCATCATCATCTGCGGCAATGTTGGTCCACCTTCGTTTCTCCCTTTGTCTGTTACCTGGAATGCAACATCATGGAAATGAGGTATGGATTCTGATAAACTCTGCTAATCAAATCTGACCGATAGGCATCAAGTGCAACCATTTTTCTCTTCCGCCAATGGGAGAAGAGAGCCATTCAGAATGTTTTGTAAGTTTTCTTTTTCTTTTTCTTTTTTTTTTTTTGAATTCTCTCAAATAAAGATTCACGTATTATATGTGCTAACTTAAAAACGACCCTAAACACGATACAAATATGATACGATTTGGCATGATTTGATTCAAGTAATGATACAAATCCGAACATGATACCAAGGCAATTGTTACCCTCAGCTTAGTTGAAGACTATAGCTTTTAAATTTCCATGTTCTTAGTTAGGTTCAACACTCACAAAAAAGAACATTGGAAGTAGAGGGTCAGACCAGTTGTCTTGAGCACTAGGTTACAACATTTCCAAAGCAAAAAAGAATGTCACTAATTGAAGACCTAGCTAGACGTTATTTGCAAGGACAAATTACACTTTGACCCTTACAAATATGTTCCCTATTTCACATTGCTCTCTCAAATATCATATAGTTCACATTTCACCTTTAATAATAGTTATTTGGTTTCACATTGTCCTCTTGATAGATTTCTCTTATTGCACCTCTAATTATCTTTATTAGTGTCTTATTGCCCCAATTTTGGATATTGAAACATATATTTTGTTGGACATGTGGATATTTTTGTCCAAAGCATTATTGGCGTTTGATTTTTGACCCAGTAATTAGGGGAGCAATGTCAGAAATTATATAATTGAGTGGACAAATTGAGATTAAGGTCATAAATGAGGGGGTCAAATTAGAATTTATCCTATTTGTAACTACACCGTCGATGAATATATAGAAAAAAATAAGGAGGAACTATTATATGCTTGGTGCCCGTTTGATTGTTGTATTAGAGTGGGTATTAAAGAGACATAAAGGATTAAAATACTTTAATNGAGTCATCCACATCTCGCCAATTTCTACAATTTAAACTATCATTTTTGATTGGTGGAACGAGACACGTATTGAATACTCAATGAATTGATAATTATTCTTGGGTTAGTTGGGTCTTTTTTTTTAAAAATATATTTGCAAAAAGTCATATTTTGTCTCATAGTTGGTGTTGGTGATATGTCCNTTTTGGTTTATACAACATTTGAACGTTAAAAGTCACTCGGTATTATGTATAAGATTAAATCAAATACATGTACCAACCATATATTTTTAACACCATCAATTGGAACTATTTCAATACTACTTTGGAGATGGTGTTGTAATCTAAGTGTAAAAATATTATGTTGNTCTTGGTTTATACAACATTTGAATGTTAAAAGTCACTCGGTATTATGTATAAGATTAAATCAAATACATGTACCAACCATATATTTTTAATACCATCAATTGGAACTATTCAGTCAATTTCAATACTACTTTGGAGATGGTGTTGTAATCTAAGTGTAAAAATATTATGTTGTTATTTTATTATTTTATCTCCAAAATTATCGAAATTCACATAGCTTACGTCTCTTTCCACAATAACATTTTTCATTGATTGTTTGAATCTATTATATATTTTTGATTGTAAAAAATAGACTAAACAAATACAAGATTATACAAAATAACTATTATCTAGATCTTAATTTGATGTCATACCAAACACATGATAGAATAGAAAGTATTTTTATCTTTTATTGAATCTTGTATTTTATTCACCTATATNAACAAAAAAAATAGACTAAACAAATACAAGATTATACAAAATAACTATTATCTAGATCTTAATTTGATGTCATACCAAACACATGATAGAATAGAAAGTATTTTTATCTTTTATTGAATCTTGTATTTTATTCACCTATATAAGATTATTAATCCAATATTTTTTTTATTTTTTCATTAATATGACAACTAAACGAACCATTGGTGTAGTTGGATGTGATATAATACAAGAATTTGTTGCTCAAGAGGAAAACCACATACGACTAATACCCATAGCATTAGTGAGACTCCTTGTGATATCATATTATTTATTTTTTTTTAACAATTACAGGAAGGGAGATTTGAACTCGACACCTAATGGTTCCATAAATAGACTTTACCACCTGAATCGGAAAAAATATTCAATGTAACAGTGACACAATGTTATTATCGTCACGTGATGTCATCGTCTAATAAAAACATAACAAATAAACAAGTAGAGTTCACCTCTCCGTTTCATTTAGTAACTATGTATAAAAAGGTTGAGTCTATTTTATTTATTTTGCTGTATTTTTTTGGATGGTGACGCCGGGTAATAGAGATATATAATTTTTTTTTTTCTTTTTTAACAAAACATAGATATGCAGATAGATTATTCTGCATATCTGTTAGAGAATATTATTCTTCAACATCAAACAACGATTTGTAAGAAATCTCACCGCACCTGCGTTATGGCCGAAATTAAAGTCTAACCGCGTGTTCTGAACGTTGAACAGTAAATTTAGGCTTACCAAACTAGTGTAGCTATGGAAACTCAAACTTAAATAATGAACGAGAAAATTTAAGTTTTAACCGACTAGACTAATCGTTCGGTGGTAAAAAGACAGATGANACAAGTAGAGTTCACCTCTCCGTTTCATTTAGTAACCACTTTGTATAAAAAGGTTGAGTCTATTTTATTTATTTTGCTGTATTTTTTTGGATGGTGACGCCAGGTAATAGAGATATATAATTTTCTTTTTTCTTTTTTAACAAAACATAGATATGCAGATAGATTATTCTACATATCTGTTAGAGAATATTATTCTTCAACATCAAACAACTATTTGTAAGAAATCTCACCGCACCTGCGTTATGACCGAAATTAAGGTCTAACCGCGTGTTCTGAATGTTGAACAATAAATTTAGGCTTACCAAACTAGTGTAGCTATGGAAACTCAAACTTAAATAATGAACGCGAAAATTTAAGTTTTAACCGACTAGACTAATCGTTCGGTGGTAAAAAGACAGATGATTTTGTCACTACACAAACAAATTATTATTATTTTTTTTTGATCAAAACTACACAAACAAATTCAGTTTCCTTTCTAGAAACAAAAAAAAAAAAAATCCAAATTGTTCATTGTAGGCCCACACAATCATAGGTCCCGAACCCATTGATTGGTATCATTGGACCGGTCACCGGATTCGAACTCTCAATCCTGTTTGCGTGTAAGACAATTAGGATGAGTTGGAAGACCAGTAGCAAAGGTTGCCACTAATTGGATGATTCTATTCCAGGTTGGAGAGATTGAGATATTTCTGACAGGTAGTATACGACTTGGTCAATGACCCATCTTTATAACTAACTTGTCACTTTAATCCCTCTAATTTTTGAGTATGTATCACGTAGCTCAATTAAAAATAGCAAAATTTAATTGACTATCTGAAATTAAAACTGGAAAGGCCAAATGTTTGTCATCAATTCTACACGGGTGATTTCCTTTAATAGTTTGAAATAGTGATCTCTTAGTGAGACTAGATGAGATTCTTAAAACAAAAAATGAAATCAAAAAAAGACGAGGTATGTACCTTGTTTATTCCCTATGATATTTAAGTCCGTCGGTTTTAAGGCCTAGAGGATAAGTGTATAGTGTAAAGTTGGTTTAACATTCATACTTGCATTCTTTTTCATTGGGCAATATTTTATATCTTCAAATGTGATGGTGGCGTGACAACCACTTGAATACTCACAGCCTAGACTTGGCAGTATATAGTCATTGAGTTGCACAATAAGTACCTCATGTTATGCCTCATTAATGTTTGGCGATGGGACGCAATCGGACTTAAATGCTCGTTGGGGGGGGGGGGGGTTGAACACCAAGTCATTCCAAACATCAAGTGTGCTAAGCCAAATATTCGTGGTCTATCACCGGGCATTTATAACTTGTGGAGAGCATTCAATTTGTGCAAGGGCCATGCCTCTCTCTTTTAGGCAGTTCGACGAAGATTCTGAGTTGATATGACGATAATAATTGTTCGTTGCATCTACTCTGCACAAGACACAATTCTCAAGGACAATTAATCATCAAGATCATTTGTGTACCCCCCCCCCGGCACATATTTACTCGGTCTTGAGGACGTTTGTCATTTGGTCTTGACCTATTTCAACTCAAGGGACACGTCTATCAGCTATAATATACTACGTGTCGATTTATGACTAACGAANTACGCATAAATTAATTCAATTCAGACACCTTAATCGTTGAAAAAAAAATACCTTTAGAAAAAGTCTTTTCCATCCACTGTTTTAATAGGTCAAATCAAAACAAATTGAAAACTTATGAAATCAACGGTCTAGATGGGCTGAATTCAAGTGCTNTTGGAGAGCATTCAATTTGTGCAAGGGCCATGCCTCTCTCTTTTAGGCGGTTCGACGAAGATTCTGAGTTGATATGATGATAATAATTGTTCGTCGCATCTACTCTGCACAAGACACAATTCTCAAAGACAANAATCATCCACATCTCGCCAATTTCTACAATTTAAACTATCATTTTTGATTGGTGGAACGAGACACGAATTGAATACTCAATGGATTGATAATTATTCTTGGGTTAGTTGGGTCTTTTTTTTTTAAATATATTTGCAAAAAGTCATATTTTGTCTCATAGTTGGTGTTGGTGATATGTCCACATCGGGTGGCATAAGCATGGCAAATAATCAAGGACATTGGATTGCCGAATCTGTTTTTAACACTAATCTAAGCTCTTTATTTGACTAAATTAGCATTTTCAGAAAGATATTGATGTGATTACTTAGTAGGCCATGCGCATATTGGATTGGAAATCCAGACATGAAGCAGTTAGTTAGTAGTAGTGACACTAATTTATGTCTGACACTGTATCCCATTTTTCATTAGACATTTTTAGTAGCATTAGCATACCGGGTCATGTTAAGTTTGTATTAAATGCATAGCTGCTTGGAAATCAATGATAAAATAGATATTTTGTGCTATTATTGAATATTTGATATGTGATAAAGATAACGATGAGATGGTTTTTTATTCGGAGGGGACTATTGGAATTGGGATTGTAATTAAGTACGAATATGGGAGTTTTGTGACGGCTTTATTCAAGAAAGACACATCTTTTTGCGAAGCCCAAGTAGCAGAAATCCGGGCGGCACGAGAGACGGTTTATTTTGCAACTTGCAAGGACACTAGGTTGTCAAGACATTGTTTTTTTGGAAGGAGACTCCACCATTGTTATGAAGTAGCATAGGCTGAGAGAAGTTTCAATCCTATGGGCTTCATGTTAGAAGGCATAAGCATCACTTCTCAAAGTTTCAGAAACTTCTACATGTTTATAATCCGGCGCACGGGTAATAGAGTAATTCATCGCTCGTAATGCTGTTGCTATTGATAACATTTATGTTTATGTTTGGAAGAAGATGACACCGATTTTTTAATGTATCTCCTCTCTCAGATATTGATAATCAATTAAATTATATCGTCGTTGTCCAAAACATAAAATAAAATTGGATCGGAGTTATGGATATAGGGTAGATATTTTGCCTTATCACTGAATCTTTAATATTAGAGCAAATAAAATGATTTTTTTTGACATCGAGGGGAAAAAAAAGGTTACCATCGAAGTTAAAATTGGATCGATGTTAAATGCTTAAAAAAAACTCTAAGTAACTCATGTGATAACGAGTTCGAATTTTAACAATTTTTTGGGGTTAGATCATGAGTTAACTTACCTTAATTTCGATATAGATGATCCTATTTTTGATCGGACCGGGGAAGTGAATTAATCGAAGTACGCATAAATTAATTCAATTCAGACACCTTAATCGTTGAAAAAAAAATACCTTTAGAAAAAGTCTTTTCCATCCACTGTTTTAATAGGTCAAATCAAAACAAATTGAAAACTTATGAAATCAACGGTCTAGATGGGCTGAATTCAAGTGCTGATGGAATCAACGGTCTAACCTTTTATCCAAAATCCCAAAAAAGAAGAAGAAAAACAATAACAAATGACTTCGACTTCGACCAAGGTGCACTTAACCCCCTGCCCAAGCAGCCCATCTCATTAAAACCCGTTTTGAACCCACTTGGGTTTTACTTCTCTTGTTCTTTTCTGTGTACACTGTAGAGACTAAAAACCCTCACACCCTTAAACCCTAGTTTGTAGTCCTCTTGTAAGGTGTTTTTTGTGTGTGTGATAGAGAGATTCATCCGATGGCTACTTCAATGCTCCTAAGATCTTCGATTCGTCGGGAATTCCATTCGACCTCTTTAGCTTCCTACAGATCTGTTAGTCTATTTCTTGTTTGCATATGCTTTTTATACTTAACCTGTTTTTTTATGTTCTGAAATGTGTGGATTTATAGAGATTCTTGTTTGTTGTGTTTTATGTATTTAATTATGACCATAAATCCATGAGTTTGAACACTGGGATCTTTTTTTATTTTTTTCTATTTCATTTCGATAATTCAATCGTCTTTGAATTTCCTCATTCGATCGATGCTTTTCGGTTATTGTTAACTTCTCTCTTGAGTTCTATCTTTTGTTTTCTCTCTTTTTTTTTTTTTTTAATATCATTATGTATATTGAACAAATGTGTTAACCTCGTTTACAAACTACCTTCTCAACCTTTTCTAGTTGTCAATATCATTTTAACAGCAGTAAATATGCGGTCGTGGTGGTATTATATGTACAGTTGGTTGGTGTTGTTGAAGCTCCAGATATTTTTCAATTGAAAAGAGTAAAAATGGNGTAAATATGCGGTCGTGGTGGTATTATATGTACTGTTGGTTGGTGTTGTTGAAGCTCCAGATATTTTTCAATTGAAAAGAGTAAAAATGGACTATTATGTTGTGGGCTACATTTCAACTGTGTGCCTTACACTATATGGTTCTGCTATAGGATTGTTTTTGCAGAACGTGATGGAGCCTCTCTATTTCAGTTGTCTATCTGTTTCAGTAGTTTCTCTCGTTTTTATCATGGGCTTTGTGTAGGTTGAAGAGATTTGTGTTGCAATATTTTGTTACCTAACCAAGTTGAACATTTATAATGATTTTAGGATTTGTGCATCAAGACGTTGTTACTTGACTAACAATTTTTTGTCCAAACTGATAAGTGTCGTTTGATGTTTTAGTTGACTGGTAATGGAAAGACTTCATCAGTCACCTTACCTTTGGGTAACAGTTGGGCAAGTTTTACAAGATATTTTAGGTAATCAAACTGATCCTTGCAATGCTCTCATCCTCAAGTGCATAGTGTTTGCTAATGTGTTCTTGTTGTGTTACATTACAGCTCAAAGCCGCCAGGAAATGACGTCATTGGTATTGACTTGGGTACTACCAATTCCTGTATAGCAGTTATGGAAGGAAAGGTAGGATTTTTTTGTCTCTTTTCTTTTCTTTTTAGTTTCTATTTTTAGAAGGCTTACATTTTATCTTCTATTCCATGGAAAAAACTGCTCGTTTTGTGGGCATTTCCCTTGAATAATGCTCTGATGTTATATGTACTATGTAGGCTGCCAAAGTGATTGAGAATTCTGAAGGTGCTCGGACCACACCATCAGTGGTTGCTTTCAACCAGAAAGGAGAGCGGCTTGTAGGAGCCACAGCTAAACGTCAGGCTGTGACAAACCCTACAAATACATTTTTTGCGACAAAACGTCTAATAGGGAGACGGTTTGATGATCCTCAGACACAGAAAGAAATGAATATGGTACCTTATAAGATAGTCAAAGCTCCCAATGGAGATGCTTGGGTGGAAGCTAACGGACAGCAGTACTCCCCAAGCCAGATTGGTGCTTTCGTTCTTACAAAGATGAAAGAAACAGCCGAGTCATATCTTAATAAGGGTGTGAATAAAGCTGTAATTACTGTTCCAGCGCACTTCAATGATGCACAAAGGCAAGCCACAAAGGATGCTGGAAGGATAGCTGGTCTAGATGTACAAAGAATTATTAATGAACCAACTGCTGCTGCACTTTCTTATGGTTTAAATAACAAGGAAGGTACCATTGCAGTATTTGATCTTGGAGGTGGAACTTTCGATGTTTCTATTCTTGAAATTTCCAACGGTGTTTTTGAGGTATGCATATGTTCTCTTTCCATGTAATACCATACATGTGTCTTCGGACTATCTAATCTTGCCATTCAGCCAACAGGTAAAAGCAACAAATGGAGACACTTTTTTGGGAGGGGAGGATTTTGACAATTCCCTTTTAGAATTCTTGGTGGGTGAGTTCAAGAGAACTGAAGGGATTGATCTATCAAAGGACAAGCTTGCTCTGCAGAGACTTCGGGAAGCTGCAGAGAAGGCTAAGATAGAACTGTCATCGACATCCCAGACTGAAATCAACCTTCCTTTCATAACTGCCGACGCTTCCGGCGCTAAACATCTGAATGTAACATTAACCAGATCAAAATTTGAGACTTTGGTGGATCACATGATTGAAAGGACCAGAACCCCTTGTCAAAATTGTCTGAAGGATGCTGGTGTCTCCAACAAGGAAGTATCTGAAGTTCTTCTAGTTGGAGGAATGAGTCGTGTTCCCAAGGTACAGCAAATAGTTGCTGAAATTTTTGGGAAAAGTCCAAGCAAGGGGGTTAATCCTGATGAGGCAGTTGCAATGGGAGCTGCAATTCAGGGTGGTATCCTTCGTGGAGACGTGAAGGAGTTGCTTTTATTGGATGTAACGCCACTATCACTCGGCATTGAAACTCTTGGTGGAATTTTCACCAGGTTGATTAACAGAAACACCACCATCCCTACAAAGAAGTCTCAGGTCAGTCCGCTTTGCTGATATTTGGAATTTTAGAAAGTAAAAAGGAAAGGAAATTAAGGAATCAAAAGCTATGCAATATAATAATGGTGATTTCATACTAAGTATGTGATCACTCGTGCATCTGTAATATATGCAGCAACAAGGTATCCTTGGTTAGCTCAGGGATTTTGCATTCTATTTCTCTCCCATGTTAATATGGCGTTATTTGATCTATGGTTGGCAGCTAGTGTATAGTATTTTTTGCCCAAAAACATCTATTGCTGGCTAGTGTATAGCTATATGTGGGAAATATTCTTTTAAATACTTAGCATTTGGACTTCTATTTGTAGTTTACAGATGGTCCTTTATGTTTTTAGATCACTATGCACAGTTTATATGCTGAGAGGATGTTTAATTGATGTATGTGAAATACATTAATTCTCTTCCCTGTTTCTTGTCTAGAAAATAGTATACTAAATATTGGGTGAAATCTTGAGAGTTGGTGAATTCATGCCCCTTAATTAGAGAGACATGCAGTCTGCTTTATACATATTGGTTGTGCATACAATGTGGTTTGGATAATTTTCTTGAGGATTTACTGGCTGCATTTGTGGTGTCAGGTCTTCTCTACAGCTGCAGACAGCCAGACTCAAGTTGGAATAAAGGTGCTTCAAGGTGAGCGTCAAATGGCATCCGACAACAAGCTTCTGGGAGAGTTCGAACTTATGGGTATCCCACCTGCCCCTAGGGGCATGCCACAGATTGAAGTGACATTCGACATTGATGCCAATGGCATTGTTACTGTTTCTGCCAAGGATAAGACAACTGGAAAAGAACAACAGATTACCATTAGATCATCTGGAGGTCTTTCAGAGGACGAGATTCAAAAGATGGTTAGGGAGGCCGAGTTGCATGCTCAGAAAGATCAGGAGAGGAAAGAACTGATTGACATCAGAAATTCTGCTGACACAACCATATACAGCATTGAGAAAAGCTTAACTGAGTATAGGGATAAGATTCCATCAGAGGTGGCGACAGAAATCGAGTCTGCTGTGTCTGACCTAAGGAAAGCAATGGGTAATGACAATGCTGACGAGATCAAGGGAAAGATTGATGCTGCAAACAAGGCAGCTTCAAAGATTGGACAACATATGGCTGGAGGCTCAGGTGGGGCTGCCTCTGAAGGGTCCCAGGATGGGGAGCAACCTCAGGAAGTAGAATATGAGGAGGCCAAGAAGTAGAGGTTGGAACAATTTATAGATGAAGCACTGTGACTTTGTATTTCAGTCAAATTATGGTAGGAAATTATTTCATAATAGGAAGCAGATTGTGAAACCAGTCCGGAGATTGGGGCGATATACTAAAACCAATGCAGTTTTAGTCTATTCTACAACAATTATTCTTTGATGCTTTGTCATCATTAAGTTTTGGAAGCTGGAACATCTACATTTAATGAGCATAGTAATCTGCTTTACTGCTGACTTCTGTCACTTGATTTTTTGTTCTCTATTAAATATATTGTTGAGAGCCGGCCAGTCTTTTTTTGTTTTCGAAATGGTTGGTTTGGTAATTAGAAAGGTATTTGACATGGACAGTCATGTTCTCTTTGATCGGAATGATTAAAAATAAGGAAGATAGGAAGTAAATGGGATATATTTTTTATTTTTTAAGAAAAAAAAATATGAATAATATATTTTTCTTCTTTTGTGTTTGATAGGATGGAGGAAAAATAAAAATGATTAAATTTTTTATTGTACTGACTAAAATTAGGGGTGACAATTGAATTGTATTGTGTCAGATTCGTGTTGACTCATTATGGGTTTGTACCGAATATTAGTTAAAGTTAACTCAATTCATTTAACTAATTGTGTCGTGTCAGATTCGTGTTGACTCATTATGGGTTTGTACCGAACATTAGTTAAAATTAACTCAACTCATTTAACTAATTGTGTCGTGTTGAGTTGCGAGTTGACCTGTTTATTTTCGTGTCATTCGTGTTAATGTTCATATTCGTGTTAACCTGCATAAATTTTGAATAAAACATTTAACGTTAATATTCTATTTTCACTTATTTGAATTAATATTAATATTTTTTCTAGAAAGTAAAAATTAAATTAAATAAATATAATAATAATAAGTAAAAATATCTTTTTTATATAATAATTATGTTAGTGCTTAATAAATAGTTAATAATTAATATTTTATGTCTATAATATTAATTAAACATGTTAATTTTATGTTACTATACAAACGAGAAAATAGGGAAAGTGTTTATTTTTAAATAAACGGGTTGATGATGTCAATTTTAAGTTTGATGAGTTGAACTGAATATGAACTTTTTATATTTTTTATTCGCGTGTCAGGTCATTTTTAAGTTCTTATCGAGTTATAATCAAGTTCGTGTCGAGTTCGAGTCGTGTCATCTTTTTAAAATATATATATTTTAAAAAAATTAATGTATACATAATATATGTATATATCAAAAGCTATATAAACAAATAAAATACATTTTAATACAAATAATTAATTTTCTATTAACTTTTCTTCCGATTTTAGAAGGATAGATTTTGGTGAGTTGGAATGATAGTTAATCTATCTATTGTTTCATTTTCTTATTTTTCTTCCCTATCAAATATGATATTTTATTTATCCTTTTAACTTTTCATACTTCTATTTTTTTTTATCACACCATATGGAGCATCATAGACTTAAGCTGCTCAAATCGAAGGACATGATCAATACTATGAGTAAACATGATCGTCTCTCAAGGGCTTTTTGTATGTCCAACAAACCGTCAAACTATCACATTTCTTACGAGGGATTTGAGAACGATGAGTGGTAGATGGTATAATCCAATTTAGCCAAGATTAATTCTAAACTTTTAACCCTCGGCTTGTCTTTGAAACTTACCGACACTTCATAAGGGATAAGGGATAAGGGATAAGGGATAAGGGATTGTTTAGTGGTCAAGTCTAATTTTTTGCAAGCAAAGATATTATGTTTAATATTATCTCCACCCCCAAAAAGTTAGTCATTCTTGTTCTTCAAAGATATGTCATTAAATTAACTTGTGGTTAATCTCAGAATTTGAGAGAGTAATCGATACAAACCTAAATACTTAACAACAAATAAAAAAAATAGTCCTTAAACTAGCTCGAACCACCATAATTGAACTCAAATTTTGAAAAGGTAGTCGGTACAAATTTAAATATTTAGCAGTAAATAATAATAATAATAAAAAAAGATATGTACCAACATTTGTCATCAAGAATGACCTTTGTGTTGTACTTGATGGTCGTGTGTGGATACACCGGTGGGTTAATTGTACTGCACCCATTTGTAGTACAAACTTTTGTGCTGATTACTTACCTCCTTGGCTTGGCTTGGCTTGACTCGGCTCTTATCTTTTTGGTACACAGGAAGGGCCAAAACAGAACAACATTTTTAAGTTAGCATGATCCCATGCTACTAAGGTGTATCATGGCCTATAGTCTTTATTAATTTCAACTTTATTTTTTAGATTTAATCAATAATTGTATTTTAGGCTAAATATATTAAGAAAAATTTAGCAAATTCTAGTTTACAATGAATAATATACTATTGGGAGAAATTAAGAAAATATATCTTAAAAGTGATTGACTAAAGCAACTCTAATCTTGAATTTTAATTCAAATATATTGTGGCATTATTGGCAGTAAGTAATGAGCCCTTTTTGGAGAGTGTTTACATAACTATCATTTTATTCATGTATTATTTAACCAAAAATTGTTATTCATAGTTTATTATCAAAAAAAATTTATATTTTCGATAAAAAAGCCTTCATTTTTCGTCTAATAAAAGTAAGAAACGTTTATTTTTTAAAAAATAATTAATATTTGTAAATGTATAAATCAATCAATTTCTGGATTGTACCATATATATTATATATATTTTTTTTCTGCTGAAGATCCTTAAAAAATTTCGGAAAAATCTAAAAGTAAAAAAGTGAANGTAAATGGGATATATTTTTTATTTTTTAAGAAAAGAAAATATGAATGATATATTTTTCTTCTTTTGTGTTTGATAGGATGAAGGAAAAATAAAAATGATTAAATTTTTTATTGTATTTACTAAAATTAGGGGTGACAATTGAATTGTATTGTGTTAGATTCGTGTTGACTCATTATGGGTTTGTACCGAATATTAGTTAAAGTTAACTCAACTCATTTAACTAATTGTGTCGTGTTGAGTTGCGAGTTGACCTGTTTATTTTCGTGTCATATTCGTGTTAATGTTCATATTCGTGTTAACCTGCATAAATTTTGAATAAAACATTTAACGTTAATATTCTATTTTCACTTATTTGAATTAATATTAATATTTTTTCTAGAAAGTAAAAATTAAATTAAATAAATATAATAATAATAATAATAATAAGTAAAAATATCTTTTTTATATAATAATTATGTTAGTGCTTAATAAATAGTTAATAATTAATATTTTATGTCTATAATATTAATTAAATATGTTAGTTTTATGTTACTATACAAACGAGAAAATAGGTAAAGTGTTTATTTTTAAATAAACGGGTTGATGATGTCAATTTTAAGTTTGATGAGTTGAACTGAATATGAACTTTTTATATTTTTTATTCTCGTGTCAGGTCATTTTTAAGTTCTTGTCGAGTTATAATCAAGTTCGTGTGGAGTTCGAGTCGTGTCATCTTTTTAAAATATATATATTTTAAAAAAATTTAAAAAAAATTAATGTATACATAATATATGTATATATCAAAAGCTATATAAACAAATAAAATACATTTCAATACAAATAATTAATTTTCTATTAACTTTTCTTCCGATTTTAGAGGGATAGATTTTGGTGAGTTGGAATGATAGTTAATCTATCTATTTTTTCATTTTCTTATTTTTCTTCCCTATCAAATATGATATTTTATTTATCCCTTTAACTTTTCATACTTCTATTTTTTTTATCACACCATATGGAGCATCATAGACTTAAGCTGCTCAAATCGAAGGACATGATCAATACTATGAGTAAACATGATCGTCTCTCAAGGGCTTTTTGTATGTCCAACAAACCGTCAAACTATCACATTTCTTACGAGGGATTTGAGAACGATGAGTGGTAGATGGTATAATCCAATTTAGCCAAGATTAATTCTAAACTTTTAACCCTCGGCTTGTCTTTGAAACTTACCGACACTTCATAAGGGATAAGGGATAAGGGATAAGGGATAAGGGATAAGGGATAAGGGATTGTTTAGTGGTCAAGTCTAATTTTTTGCAAGCAAAGATATTATGTTTAATATTATCTCCACCCCCAAAAANAAGAATAAGGAATAAGGGATTGTTTAGTGGTCAAGTCTAATTTTTTGCAAGCAAAGATATTATGTTTAATATTATCCCCACTCCCAAAAAGTTAGTCATTCTTGTTCTTCAAAGATATGTCATTAAATTAATTTGTGGTTAATCTCAGAGTTTGAGGGAATAATCGATACAAACCTAAATACTTAACAACAAATAAAAAAAATAGTCCTTAAACTAGCTCGAACCACCATAATTGAACTCAAATTTTGAAAAGGTAGTCGGTACATATTTAAATATTTAACAGTAAATAATAATAATAATAATAAAAAAAGATATGTACCAACATTTGTCATCAAGAATGACCTTTGTGTTGTACTTGATGGTCGTGTGTGGATACACCGGTGGGTTAATTGTACTGCACCCATTTGTAGTACAAACTTTTGTGCTGATTACTTACCTCCTTGGCTTGGCTTGACTTGGCTCTTATCTTTTTGGTACACAGGAAGGGCCAAAACAGAACAACATTTTTAAGTTAGCATGATCCCATGCTACTAAGGTGTATCATGGCCTATAGTCTTTATTAATTTCAACTTTATTTTTTAGATTTAATCAATAATTGTATTTTAGGCTAAATATATTAAGAAAAATTTAGCAAATTCTAGTTTACAATGAATAATATACTATTGGGAGAAATTAAGAAAATATATCTTAAAAGTGATTGACTAAAGCAACTCTAATCTTGAATTTTAATTCAAATATATTGTGGCATTATTGGCAGTAAGTAATGAGCCCTTTTTGGAGAGTGTTTACATAACTATCATTTTATTCATGTATTATTTAACCAAAAATTGTTATTCATAGTTTATTATCAAAAAAAATTTATATTTTCGATAAAAAAGCCTTCATTTTTCGTCTAATAAAAGTAAGAAACGTTTATTTTTTAAAAAATAATTAATATTTGTAAATGTATAAATCAATCAATTTCTGGATTGTACCATATATATTATATATATTTTTTTTCTGCTGAAGATCCTTAAAAAATTTCGGAAAAATCTAAAAGTAAAAAAGTGAAAAAGCGGTAAAATGTAGTTGTTCCGGGCCCCGCCGGATATCGTTGGATTTGGAAAGGGTAGTATCGTCACAGGAGAAAAAAAAAACTTTTACTTCGTCAAGTCAGTACCGAACTCGTTTGCCTTCCTTCGTCGGATAGCATAGACATCAGTACGCGTTCTACGAAATTGCGAAGCAAACATATACAGAGAGAGAGAGAGAGAGAGAGAGAGAGAGAGAGAGAGAGAGAGAGGGAGAGAGAAGAGATCAACGACGTGCTCAATATAGACAAGTGCACACAATCGTTCACCGGAACATTCTTCAAGCTTAAAGGCCACTCCTTTTACCGGTAAGAGTAGGCTTTTTGGGTTTTTATGTTTTTCGCAATGTTTTTAATGGGCAATCACGTTAATTACCTCTGAATTTCTTTTGAATTACAATTTTTATTGGCTAATTATCCTTGGAAGACATCTGTTCATAATCTCACTTTTAGCTATTATTTTCAATTGGATTACTATAGACTCTAGTTCTGTGAATTGTTCTTGAGTTTTTATTTTTTGATTTGTTCTTGAAGTAAGAGTCAGTAATACAGGTAAATCGGCTTGGTTAATCCTTCACTGTAATTGTGAAGCTTTTCCGATATGTACTTGTGTTGGTTAGCTATGATTCCATAATAATTACATGCATATGTTTTATGCAAACAATTCATATTTTGCTAGTGAAATTTGTGCCTTTGCATGTTTGCGATTTGACGGTTGTCCGGATTTGTTGAATTGTTTGCGAAATAGTTGCTAAATTTTGATTGAGTATTGATATCTAGTAAATTTAGGGGTTTCTAGGCTCTAGCTATATTTCTTTTGGAAAAATTAAGCTTTATTGCATAACAAGGTTGCTGAGATGAGCTGTGTTGTAGGTGACGATAAGCGATGGAGTTGAAACAAGAGTTAGAGTGGAATGAAGCGCAGAAGATTTCGATTAATGTGGACCTTGTAGCTGCAGCCAAGAGGCAGCTATTATTTCTTGAAGCTGTTGATCGTAGGAACCGATGGCTTTGTGATGGCCCTGCTCTTCAAAAGGCCATTTATAGGTAACTCCATTTAGAAATGTTTCGTGTGTTGGTGTCACATGGATTAGAGCATTTGAGACCACTAGCCGGTGCATGCATTATCGTCATGCGGTTGCGCTGTTAGTTGGTCTTTTTGAATATGTAGAATTTTTGCAGATAACCACTAGTAATTATCATTGCCTAAGGCCTGGTCATGTGTTGAATAGTAGTTGGAAAGTTTGATCATATAAATTACCAAACTTTGCATGCAACAACACAGGACTCAAGAACGGGTGCCAAGATGAACGGAAAGAAAATAAGTTCACTTTAGTATTGTAGTTGAAATTATCATCATTTTCTGGCTAGTTCATGCTGTTATTATCAATGTATTCGGACTTTTGGAGCTTGCTCATACTTTTTGTGTTCACTTTGTTATAGTATCTGCTGACGGTATAACATTTTAAATCTAATGTGATATGTCTTCCAAATGGGAATTCGGTTTCGTTTGTCTTGAGTTTTGACTTTTGCGAATTCGCATTTTCAGGTACAATGCTTGTTGGCTTCCCTTGCTGGCAAAGTATTCCAAGTGTCAAATATTGGAAGGACCTTTGGTTGTTCCTCTTGATTGTGAATGGATTTGGCATTGTCACAGACTCAATCCAGTATGGTTCTGGCCTGAAAAATAATTAGTGTAAACTGTCATTTGTCTCACTTCTTTGTAATGCAGAGATTAAGAAAATGTGATTTCGGTTTCAATATTCAGGTTAGATACAAGTCCGACTGTTTGGAGTTCTATGGAAGGATTCTTGACAACCTTAATGTTGTATCTTCTGTTCAAGGGAATTCAAAGAGGGAAACTGAAGAGATTTGGAACACGCTGTACCCAAATGAGCCCTATGAATTGGAGTTGACAAGTCCTCTTTCGGACGATATATCTGGAGAAGTTTCTAGCACTGAAAAGTACAGTACATATGATCTGATTTTAGCCGTTAAAAGACAGGTTCCATTCTTTTACCAGGTAATTTAGAGGATGATCATTCTACTTTTCTTTCTGACATCACAACAAAGTATCACAAACTCGACATTTCTAGTAGGTTTTGCAAATCAGCATTAATGAATATTGATACAGTACTCATTTCAATTCCCTGTTTCATCTCTTCTTCATTGCATATCATATTTGACAAACATTGGTTGAGGTCTAACTGAATGATCCTTATTCCAATCGCGATCCCATTCTCATCATTGCTACGTATCTTCATGTGATTTTTTTAGCTCAAATTTGCTTGTAGATATTGAGCTTTGAGTTTTGGCAATTCTTATTGAAATTTTCTGTGATGAAATCATCCGATTTTATGGACTAGTTTGATTGTCTTAGCAACTTGTTTAGTGCTACAACTTTAAAATTGATCACTCAAGTGCAGGTTGTGCGAAGTAATAAATTTCTCGGGAGTCCAAGGTCGAACCACTGGGAATTGTGAAAAATTTAGAACACAAAGAAAAATAAAAGAAAATTGTTTTGAAGAAATTGTTTTTACATATTTTGAAATTTGGTTTTAAAACAATAATTAAAAATACTAAAGCGTCGAGGATACCCTTTCAAATCCATACAGTAATTATTAATGATCTAGGAGTGATCCCAATCAGAATATTTAGCGGTGATAATATGAAAACATAAAAAATTGTAATTAATAAATTATCTGAATAAATATAATAATTTACTTGTAGATCACAAGCATTCACCGTGCCTGAAGTCTACAATAAATCAAGCTTTCTAACAGGTAAATGTTATTTTATTGTAAATAATAAATCAACTATCTTATGAGAAATTCTAATTAATTAATTCAAGCATGGAATAATTAGTTATTTAATTCGTAGAGAATCTCAAACATTCGGTGTATGTGGCATAACGAATCAAAAAATTATACAGAGTGGAAATTTTACTAAAAATAAGAATTAAATTAAAAGAATAAATCATGCATTAAAAAGAATATTGAATCAATAATAAGTACCATGTTTCATTGAAAGTATCTCCCCTACCTTTAGTTGAGCTTTTAGCAAGTCATAGAACTTGGAACAAAAACTAGAAAAGACAAGATTGGAAAAAAATAATAATAATAATCCCAATCTTCCTGGATGAGAACCCTTATTTATACTCAAATATAACCTAGGTATAGGTACAAGATATAAGGTTAAATTGAGAATAATTTCTTTCCCAAAAGAAGTCTTGTAAGGTGAAATCCCGTGCATAAAATCTTTGGGGCGCGGGTACAAAATCTGTCCAGACTTTGAGCTTAAATTTTGCATATTTAGAGGTTGAATCACGAAAATTTCGTGAAATACACTTTTATAGTCCTTGAAGTCTTCTTTCCAACCCCCAAAAATCAAGTAAATCGGATATCAGAGTCAAAAGTTATGACTAATATACCGAAGACGTGTCAAATCCTTATCTTCTAGGATACTTTCTTAATCCAACTCTAAATGAGTTTTCTTCCAACTTGGACTCTTATAAGGATTAAATTTCTGCCATATCTTCAAGTCTTTCTATTTCAATCTTGACTCTTCAATCCTTATCAATTGTGATTCTTCCTTTAGTGATTGATTTACTTGTCTTATCCATTATTACTTTAAATCAATCAATTTACCAATAATATGCAATTAACTAATCATTAAATATAATAAAATAGCAATTATGATGGTTAATCATTTAGCCTTGTTGCATAAATTATATGTTGGGGGTATTATTTTCCTGCTAGAGTGATTGAGAAATGGAGTTTTGTGTGCTGCTTTCTAATGGTTTAGAAAATAGAACAACCATTTTTTAAAATGAGTTATCAAATAATTAGGGTAAGTGTCTTACTTCCATCAGCTGCATGGAGCCATCTGAAAGATGTTAAATGGAAAGTTCTCCCTTTTCGTGGGAGGCCATCAAGTCTTCTTTAGTAAATTTAAATGTCAGCGGCCACTCATATTTTTCCAACGTCTAGTAATTAGTGGACATGACATTATGGCATTGTAGCGTAGAAATTGATAAATAAGAAGCTTTGGGAAAAATTTCATCTGTTGAGAATCAAGTTGATTTCTGTCCATGATGTATAAATAGTGGTATTATTATCACGTGATAGCAATCACATTGTTTTCCCATGAAAAAGTGGGAGGAAATTGCTATGTTACGCAGACCATCTTGGTACCAAAGTGGTTCAATGTATCTTCTACAGTTCTACCAACTGAAAAACAAAGAAAAAGAAAAACCTTTACCTGTATTCTTGGTCTTCCTATAGTTGAATTCTACTGGCTGTATCATGTTGAAATTATTTTTAGGATTACCAAACCAATTTTGAAGCTTTGGTTCATCAAGGACTCAACTCAATGGTTTAAACACGTAGTTGACCAGTGTGGCAAGCCTTTTTAACTAGATTTTTGTCCATGTCTTCATGCTCCATTACATAATCTGACTGCAGCTTCCCTTTAATGTTCTATTATCTTTTCCAATTCATCTAAAATAGTGAACTGTAATCTTGAAGATCATACACTTTGCTACATTATATCAACATACCTAGTCTCCACTAGTCATAAGATTTGTACAACAATTATCCCACCCTTCCCCAGTGGACATAAAATGTACAATATTGCATCCTTTTTTAGGTTATTTATGTCTATTTTCTTTCGTGTATGTGTTACAGGTTTCCAGACCCCATATGGACCATGATGTCTTCCTAGAAGGAGCTGTGGCTAGATACAAAGGTTTTCTGCATCTGATCAAGAGAAACAGGGAAAGATCCATAAAACGCTTCTGTGTTCCAACTTATGACATTGACCTCATCTGGCATACCCACCAGTTGCATCCTGTTTCTTACTGTAATGATCTTGTAGCAATACTTGGCAAGGTTTTAGAACATGATGACACAGACTCGGACAGAACCAAAGGGAAGAAGCTTGATGTTGGATTTTCTGTAACTACGAAACAGTGGGAAGAGACATTCGGTTCAAGATACTGGAGAGCAGGGGCAATGTACAGAGGTAGTGCCCCATCTCCTCTCACTAGAACTCCTTGGACCTCTAATATGATGACCAAGAGGGTACTTGCATCCAATGACTATCAGAAACGAATTCATCTTCCGGAAGGGAAAGTTGTGGAGGTAGTTTCTAAGGAACCTTTCTATACCTCCTTCCAACTATGTTGTTTTCTATTTTTTGGCACTAACAACATGTCTTTGTTATTCTTGTTTTCTTTTTGGGAAATGCCTCACCAGTTATAAAGGGGGTGCGTGATGATCAAAAGGGAGGAAGTTAGATAATATACAACCTTATAGCTAACCAATAGTCCAATGTAAGAAGTGCACCATATTGTTAGATTTGTGAGACCAAAAACTCCTGCCCACATTCCAACAACTTGGATTTTAATTGGAGGGTGGCAATCGTGTAGGGTGGGTTTGTGTCATGTAGAAGTATAAATATTTGATCCAATAGGTCAACTTGAACATTACTCATGTACCTAACTCTGTCAAAATGTTTAATGGTAGCACAACTTGTTTACTAAACAGGTGACCCAATGTGAACTATGTAATCCGGTTGGTAAAAAGGTCATGTCTAGTTAGGTAGGTTGCAGGGTAGATGATTTACACAAATCCGGTGGGTTCCATTGGTAGTATTCTTAAATGGAAAAAATACTACAATATATGTGTAAGAAAAGCCAGAAGTTGGTGGGTTCCATGGGATACTATTGTGTCGAGAATCACATACGTGTCAGGTGTCACGCATCACACTTGTGTTTGTTCCGTGAACAGGTCCAACAGGTTAATGCTACGAACCTGAACACGACACATTTTATAAATGAGATATTGGTAGCAATCCATTTATGACATGAACCAGATTATTCCTAACCCAAGCCAACTAACTCTGTGCCAGGCTCTAATTCTAGTGTCATGTCTAAAATTACCACTCTTAGTATGATATGGTGGGGGGTTTTCATCAAATTATGACATCGGAGCATTTTTTAACAATTGTTTTGTTACGATGTAGATAAAATGACAAATAATTTTTATGGCTGGTCATTATTTCCTCAGTATTCTGCACTATCTCCGGTTCTGCTCACCTTCACCGAGCTTTGACTCATATGGTAACCAACCAGTAAAATTCTTATGTTGCATTCGTCGAGATTTAGAGCCACATCTGCTAATTTCAATTATTATATACAACATATTCTGTGTCATGCAGTAGCTTGATTAGGTCAAATTCAACCATTGAATCTGCCTACATTTTGTTTTAAATCCTGAAATTATTAAGCTGACTTCTTGTCCAATAGGTGTATTAACATGGATCTTTCAATTGTTGGTCCAGATCTTCTTTATTGTGCTGAAATTGGAGCTTTTCTCATTAATAACCATAGTTGACCTATGTTCACTATAGAGGAGCCAAGCTTTCTTTTCTTTTCCATCAACCATTAAATCATGATTTTGAAACTCAGTTGTTTTCTGAGAATATTTAGAATTTGGATATTGGTTCTTGCTGACATGTTGGAAGCAATTGTTTCTTGCATTTGTAGCATGAGACAATGCCATCCCAAAAATGGTTAACTTTCTCCCAGTCTTTTTCAGGTTATGTTGGAGTTTGTGGGAGTCAGAAACCTACCAGAGGGGCACAAGGGAAGCCTTTTTGTGTTATTTAGTAAGACACAGCCTGATACAATCTTCAATGTGGAGACGAGACTCAATATTTTGCCCGAGTCGGGGGAGAAACAGGTTGCTTTGTTCCAGTGTCAGCCTACGGGACAACTGCTCTTTGATCTTGTCTCCGACTCACCCTCCAACTTATTCATATCAAGGCCATCCAAAACCATGGGTTCTACTTCTATCTCTCTGGAAAATTTCTTATTCCCAGTCTCTAGTCTCACAGTGGAGAAATGGCTGGAGTTGGTTCCTAGCCCTGGCACTGTGACCTCCAAGCCAATCGGTTTACGAGTTGCCATATCATTTACTATACCAACCCCAGCACCATATGTGCTTCACATTGCTCATTCTTGGCTGTTCTCAAAAATCTGTTGTTTTTTCCCACTACCTGGAAGGGTTCACTTTGCAAAGGAATGGACACGTGTCATTGATGCAGCTGGCAATGATATCATCAGCCTCCTAATGAGGTATTTTTTCTATATATCCTGCTAGCATTCCAAAAGAAACCATCTGCTTATACATTTATATAATGCTGTCCCCTGAATGTTACTAAATGAAGGTTTTGTGGAACAACTGAAATTTGTAATATTAAAGAATCCAGGGTCCTACATATCTTGTGAAAGACAGGTTGCTTCTAATCCTCCACCAGTGTTTTTGTATCATCATGGCGTTTATCCTTTCACTAGAGGTCGTGCACTGCACACAAACAGTGTCCTTCTGTAGATAGGAAGCAAGGGAAAGATATGGACTTGAGAATGGTTGGAATAGATAAATCTAGGTGGTCAAATGTCTTAAATCATCATCTACTCTAAAAGCTTATGACTTTAGAGATGACGTAACTTAAGTATTTATATTTCAACTCGTCTCACGAGTAGGTTAAGTTTTAGGCCTAGCACGTGAAAATATTTTAATAATCAGATGGCAGCGAGATTTGAGCACAGGATCTTTTGCTCTGATATTATATTAAATCACTATCTACTTTAAAAACTTAAGTTGTTAGAGAGAGTATGATTTAAGTATTTATACTTCAACAAAATGTAGTATCGGGGAAGTTATAGGTGGCTAAATTTGGTAGAGGAAAAGCACTAGGTGGTTAAATGTGGTAGAGGGAAAGTTATAGGTGAGTACTAGTTTATTACTTCCAAGAATTCGATCTAGTTTACTTTTTTGATAGAATCTTACTTGGACAGGATATTGATATCTTGAATCCATGGAATAAGGTATAAAGAATTTAGATTTGAAAATAAGGTTTGAGTAATTGGTCAAAACTCTATCCATAAATGACAAATTAATTTCAGATTTTGATCGGCGTCGTATCTTGAAAAACCTAGTGCAGCCAAATAGAATTCCAGATATCCAAAAATCCCTGAAAAATGATTTTTAACTAGACTAGGATTGGTTATCTTTACCAAAGGTAAAAATGTAATTTATTTTTAATGAGATAGATAAAATTGGAACCTGATAAAAAGAAAAAAAAAAGATAGATAAAATTGGAACAAAACATAATATTGATTGAATTTAGGACTTTATAAGAATAAATTGTCAAAAGTAGAATTCGATTGTCCTAATGTAAATATGATAGGACTTGTTGGTTTTTGTGTGGAAAAGTAGGGCTTAATTGGAATGGTAATTCTCCTTCAATAAACAAGGATTTATGTTCCATTTTTCTCTGCACATATGCCCATCTTTCCACAACGATATATACTTGCTAGTCATCTGTTAAATAGTACCCCATTCTCTCTGTTTGTTAAATGTTGGAAGCTATGCTAAAGAAATAAGATGTTATGGTTGCTGATCTGTTACTAAGTGCAGGGACTTCAAGAAAGAAAAGGGGAGAAATAACACCAATCTGAAAAAAGAGGTGATTGGCTTAACAAAATCTGATGAATCACGTATTGTTGCTGAGTTTGATGGGATAGAGTGGTCTTTCATAGATTCTCAATGGTCCCTTAAGCTTGAGAGAAACGTCAACAAAGATGGCAGCATTTTTGAGCTGATTGGTCATCGGATTGTGAGCATCCATCTCTTTTCCTTATGTTTTGTTTTTACTGAAAGAAATAGATACTTTCTTGGAAAGAAACCAGATAACATTCACATTTACCTCACTTTGGTTATCAGTATTCACCTTTTAAAAAATAAATAGTTCAGCATATTTTTGTGGGAATTGATATTTGCTGTCTGCTGCTTTCGAAATACTAAAGTAGCCTTATTCTGAGGATTTGGAATTGGCAGTGCAGACGTGGGAACTTCCTTTTTGGGAGTTCCACTGAAACTAGTGTGGTTTTGTAGCAGGTTTCTTCTTTTGTTTAACTTTCTGAAAGTTACAATTGTCCCCATCCTGGTGATGCATTCTGTCTTGCATGGTCAATCCGCATTTTAGACCGAGCACTTTTTGTGCTTTTTCCCTTAAGCTAAGTGATATCATTGGTTCTGTTGGATTTGAAAATATGTCTTCTGCAGATATCACATATGTTCAGTTGTTAATTCGTCTCATTCTTGTTGCGACATTAATTAAAGGGAATGCTCTTTGGTTGTAGCTTTCCTGCTTTCTTGAGACAAAAGATACCTCCTTACACAGGTTACTGGTACATACTTCGAATTGCAGTATCCATCTGGTTGCTACAGCAGACAAATTACGCCATTTACTTAGACTTCAATCTTGCATTATATTCATGACACATATCCACGTACAAGTTTCAGTGCTTCTGTAGCAATATATCTTCTTGTTAGTCTTCTGCTCATCCATGGCTTAATATCTTATATTGATACAGGTAAAATTATTCCCTGGTAGAAAGCTAGAATATGAGCTGAAACACTGCAATGGACAGGGAGCTGAATGTGACTTTATCACGGCAGTTGAATTCTCAGCTCAAGACCCATATGGCAATGCAGTGGCACTGTTTGACTTGAAATCTGAAACTTTCCAGGTACATTTTTTTATTCCTCATACTGATTATATATAATGGAAGATTTCTGACCTGTGACCTGTCTTCATGCCCTTGTTTTTTTCACTTTACGTGTAAATAGATAAAAGAAGAATGGTTTGTTTTGCCGGGGATGACAGTGGCTTTTATACTTTCTGATATTTTAAGGAAGGAGGGATATAAGGGCCTCAGCCACACTCTGAGTGGCATGGATTTGGAGAGGGATTGTTTAGTTCAAGAAGTTGATAGGTGCCATGAGGAAGACACAAAAGGCAACTTGAACTCTGCTGTGGCACAGGAAGTGGAATTGAAGGCAGAGTTTGCTGAAGGAATCACACCAGTTCCAGAGAAAGGTGGGGCATGTGGTGGTGGGTGTGGAAACACTCAAAAGAGTGGTGGTTGTGGTAGCGGTTGTGGTGGTGGGTGTGGAAACACTCAGAAGAGTGGTGGTTGTGGTAGCGGTTGTGGTGGCAGTTGTGGTGGCAGTTGTGGTGGTGGGTGTGGAAATAGGATGAAGAGCAGTGGTTGTGGTGGAGGTGGGAGCGGTTGTGGTGGTGGATGTGGGAGCAGTTGTGGTGGTGGATGTGGAAATACGATGAAGAGCAGTGGCTGTGGTGGCGGTGTTGGTAGTAAAGTTGCAGATGGAAAGACTGCTGGTAATCCCAACATCAGTGATCACCAGGAGGGAGCAGCAATCCAAGCAAACGAAGCCCCAACTGCTTAGCATTTCTTGTTAAGCGACCAGCGTGCCACCAGAATCTCAAAATTTCTTGTTGACTACTGTGTTTTATCAGAAAGTTGCAGATCCTGGATTCAAATTTCTGTACGAATAAAACTAAGTTTTTAAAACTTTTCATTGAATATCCACTTTAATTGAGTTTTGAGTTACATATTTTTATCTAATTTATTGTGTATTTTAAAGAATAAAAATTACTAACCTAACGGCTATGTGTGTAAGTTATTATCCTACTGGCTATATAAGTTGTTTTGAGAAACTTTTTTAGCAGCAACAAACTCAACAGTCCAGTAGACCCTCACGCGGTAGTCAAGTGTTTTCAATTATTATCTATTATTTTTATTTTTGAAAAAATTCAATTCGAGTCAGATTCATTCTAATTTTTTAGTGGATGTGACCATTGAAAATGTGTTGTTGTGAGCGTTTGGGTTGGATCTTAGAGCCGTTGGTGTCCGTTAATACCCTCATGTGGGAAGACTCAATTGTTTTAGGATAGTGATCACATGTTTCTCAGTCTCGCAGATCAGTTCTTTCTAAATCAATTTATTTAATTTATATAAATTGCATGTATTCATTTAAATCACATGTTATATTTTAATGATTTAACCACTATTTGTACGTTTTATTTCTAATTTTAGATAGCAACACTCATAACTATTTTGCTTACATCATAATTCTAATATTTGTTGCTTTAGTCAAAAGTTCGGTAGCCGTTTTTCCTAATTTCAATTGTAAATCTATGAGTAAAATATATAATTATTTTTACATTCTAAAGCAGTTGATTTTTTGTTGTTAGAAAAAAAAGTTTTTTTTTTGGAAAAAAAGTTTTTTTTTTGGAAAAAAAACAGTAACAGTTTTTCTAAAAAAAAAACAGTTTTTCTGATAAACAGTTTTTTTTGAAAAAAAAAAACTGAATTTTTTTTGTTTAAAAAAAAACAAAAACCAGTAATAGTTTCATTCAAAATATAACACACATTTTTAAAAAAAAAAATGTTTTTCTGAAAAAATAGTCTTTTAGAAAAGCTAGAAAATTTTTTTTTTTAAAAAAAAAAAAAAGTTTCAAGAGTTATTACAATAATTTAAAGACTTTTTTTTAATTTCGTTAGAAATAGAGTTTTGACAGTTGGCATTTAAATTCAATACAAGTTTTTTACATATCTCTTATTATTTCTTTACCCTAGAATTTTAAATTAAGGATGACTAGACTAGAAGAAGCTAATAGTGTCAAACCCGAAAAATTGATATTGGTTGACCGTACTATGCTTAACTTCTGTCATAGAAGAGCCTCAACCTAGTTAAGTGTTATCTTCATGGTATACCCCTGAACAAATTGAATATCACCGTCATAATAGAATTTTTAGTGCTTTTTCTAACCATCTCTATGATGTCTACCATAATATTACGACAATCGCTAAAGAGCTTTGGAACACTTTTAGAGGCCGAGTATGAGATTGCTGATGCTGGAATTAAACGGTTTATGATCTCTAATTTCAACAATTATAAAATGGTGGAGAATAAACCCGTTGGTGATCAAATTCATGAATATCAAGAATTTTTGAAGAAAATTGAAAATGTTGGAACTACATTTATTGAAGATTTTAAAGTTTCAAGCTTAATTGACAAACTTTCACCTTCTTGGGATAATTTTGCTAAGACCCTAAGGCATAAGCAAGGAAAAGTAATCTTAACACAAACTATAAATGCGCTTAGGGTTGAAGAGAATCATAGGGTTGGTACAAACTCACAAAATGAGAGGTTGGTACAAACTCACTAAGGTAAATCTAGTGAAAAATAATAACAACAACCATAACAATTTCTGACCTAGGGGAAGAAATGTTAAGAATAAGAGGTTTAATGGTCGTCCTAATAATGATCAAAAATAAAACTATCAAAACAATAATAAGTTAAAGGGCTTAGGGAGAGAGAGGATGTCTTACTTTGTTTGTGGACGAACCAATCACTTGGCTAACGATTGCTACTACAAGAAAACTAAGCCGTATAAGCCAAAGTCTAAATCAAATCAAAGAGGTCCAAGAGCACAAGTCAATGTTCTAATGAATAGAGATAATTTTGTCCAACCATTCTTTAGGTATAATAATCGTTCCCTAGTTAATTTTACCTATCAAGATAAAGATTGGTAGTTAGACTCTGGGGCTAATATACATGTTTGCTTTGATCGTGATTTAATTAAATTTTATTAGAAATCAAGTGAAGAAAATGTAACACTAGGAAATGATTCTGTCGCACAAGTACTTGAAATTGGAGACATAGAGTTAAAGATGACGTTTGAGAAGACATTGATCTTGAAGGGAGTGCAACATGTTCCTGAAGTTAGAAAAAATATAGTTAGTGGGTCGTCCTTAGTCCAATAAGGTTATAAGGTTGTAATGGAGTCGAATAAAGTTGTGATAACTAAGAATAATATATTTGTTGGCAAATGATTATTTGTGATGGTTTATTTAAATTGAATGTACTTTCGGAGTTAATGGAATTTCTCATCAAATTTTCAACGCTGAATCTTGCAATGTATGACATGGAAGATTAGGACACATAAATCTAAAGAAAATCAAAAGGATGATGGATCTCAATCTCATTCCCAAACCTCATGTAGAATTTAAACAAAAATGTGAAATTTGTGTACAAGGCAAACAAACTAGAAAATCTTATAAGAGCGTAGAAATGAATACCTAACTTTTAGAACTTATACATAGTGATGTATGTGATTCTAGTAGACTGTCAACAAGAGTCAGAAACAAATATTTTATGACTTTTATAGATGATTGTTTTAAATATTGTTATATTTATCTTATCAGGACCAAAGATGAAATATTTAATAAGTTTAAGATATATAAAAAAATGAGGTTAAAAATCAATTAAAGAGAAAAGTGAAAAGATTAAGGTCCAATAGAGGGGGTGAATATACTCTAACTGACCTTAATACATTTTGTAAAGAATATGGAATAATATATGAAGTGACTCCTTCTTATTCTCCTCAATCAGATGGGGTAGCTGAAAGAAAGAATAGAACCTTAATAAATATGGTAAATTCAATGTTGACTAGTTCCGGTTTATTTAATAATCTGTAGGACGAAGCTATACTTGGTGCTTGTTTCATCTTGAATAAAGTATATATTAAAGATAATAAGAAAATTACATATGAGATATGGAAGAGAAGAGTTTCTAACCTTAGCATTATGAAAATGTGGGAATGTTTAGTTAAGGGAGCTATTCCCAAACCAAAGAGAAAGAAAATAAGTCCTAAGACCGTAGATATTGTCTTTGTAGGATATGCCAAAAATAGTAGCGCTAATAGATTTTAAGTTATTAACTCGGAAATTAGTGGAATTTCAAACAATATTATAATTTAATCGAGAGATGCTACATTTTTTAAAGATATTTTTCCTTTTAAAAATACAATGCCTAGTCAAGTAAGAAAAACACCTTTAACTAATGATCAACCTTCTACTAGTTTTATTGCTCCCATAGAAAAAATTATAGAACAACATGTAGAGCTAAGGAAAAGTAAAAGACCTAAAATAGAGAAGGACTTAGGAGAATGATTTTTTACTTTTCTAGTAAAAGGAGAGCCAATGACATATAAAAAAGTTATGTTTTCTATAGATGCACCTTTGTGAAAGGAGGCTATTAATAGTGAAATTGAATCTATATTGCTTAATAATACTTGGGAGATAGTAGAATTTCCTCCTAGAAGCAAAGCTATTGGGTGTAAGTGGGTATTTAAGACGAAACTAAAATCTGATGGGAGTATAGATAAATATAAAGCTAGATTGGTGGCTAAAGGATTTATTCAAAAGAAAGGGATAAATTATTTTGATACATACTCGCATGTGACTAGTATAACTACTATTACAATACTAGTAGCCTTAGCATCTATCCATAACTTAGTAATACATCAAATGTATGTCAATACTACTTTTCTAAATGGGGATTTAGATGAAGAGATTTATATGGAACAACCTGAGGGGTTTGTGGTAAAAGAATAAGAACATAAGGTTTGTAAGTTAGTGAAATCTTCATATGGACTTAAACAAACTCCTAAACAGTGGCATGAGAAGTTTGATAAAATAATTCTATAGTATGGTTTTAAAATTAATGAAAGTGATAAATGTTTATACTACAAGGATGGTAATATTGGTTGTGTGATTTTATGTCTCTATGTAGATGATATACTAATTTTTGGAACAAACTTGGAGGTCATTAATGATATTAAATCTTATTTATCTACTAAGTTTGATATGAAATATTTGGGAGAAGTCTATGTAGTTTTGGGAATGAAAATAGAGAAAACATCTAATGGAATATCTCTAAGTCAGTCTAGCACCATAGAGAAAATGTTAAAAAAGTTTGATTTTTATGATAGTAAGTTTGTATCAACACCATATGATCCCCATGTACATTTGAAGAAAAATAAAGGAGAACCAATTTCATAATTGAATTACTCACAAATGATTGGGTCTTTGTTATACATAGCTAATAAATCTAGCCTAAATATCTTGTATATCGTAGGGAGATTGAGTAGATATACACATAGTCTGAGTAAAGAGCATTGAGTTGCCTTAGAGAGAGTCTTTAAGTATTTTAAAGGAACCTTAGACTACTCTTTATGTTATAGTGAATTTCTTAGTGTAGTTGAGGGCTTTAGTGATGCAAATTGGATAGTTGATAGTTTAGATATAAAATTCACTACTGGCTATGTCTATTTGTTGGGAGGAGCAGCCATATCTTGGGGATCTAAAAAAACAAACACTAATATCAAGAAATACTATGGAGTCAGAACTTATAGCCTTAGATACCACGTACACTAAGACTGAGTGGATAAAAAATTTATTACTAGTAGAAAAACTCATACCTATCATTTCATTACATTGTGATAGTAAGATAGTGATTGAGCTTATGAAGCAAAATCATAATAATAAACAGATGAATAGACATATACAAGTGAGATATAAATCAATAAAAAAAATGTTGAGTAAAAGCATAACCTCACTAGACTTTGTGAAGTCTGAGCTAAATATAGCTGATCAACTAACTAAAAGGTTCTCAAGAAAAGCTGTCTCAAAACTGTTGAGAGGGATGAACTTAAGCCCACAAGGAAGTCACCTAGGGAGGTGGGTAGAAACAATCCATACTGCGTGACCCATTAGCAATGTTATTGAGTAAATATCCAAGAGGAAATATTTTTCCTGCTCATCCC